CAAAGTTGCTGCAAATCATGTCACAGCTTCATACAATTCCAAAAAACCAAAAACAACATAGAAGGAAGAAGATGTGGAAGAAATCATGTATACTTCATACAAGCATTCTATTTTGTAAAATCTATACAATCTAAAGATATAAAAGATACTCACATGATCTTTTTTCTTTCATGTGAGTATTTCAATTTGATTTGTTAGTGATGTTGTTGTTATTGAATTTGATTCTAAGATAAAAGATAGATTATTTTTAATTCTTAAAATTAGATTTTAAATCTCTTCTATTACAAAATTTATTTGAATTTTTTGTTTTTAGATTGTATACTGTAATCTATCAAACTTGGGCTATTATTTAGTAGAGATGCTATTTGCAACAATACTCTTAAAAATAAAGGTCTATTGGTACCTCAGTTTCTTTGAAGAATGTCTTCAATAAAGCCTCCTTCTTGTGCTTTTTTGAAACTTGATTTTGTAAGTTCTCAAAGATAAGCCTTAATATCATATTGAAACTTCTATATATTAAGATTAGGATAATATAAGTTTAATTTTAAAAAATAATAATAATTTTTATTATTATGCTTATTTATTTATTTTTAATTTATACTATCAAGGAAGACACAACTTAAAGAACTACCTCTCGTTTACAAAGTATAATTCTTTAACACCTCACATTGATTAGTTGTATTTTTTTTAATAGAAATAAAGTGCATATTTTTTCATCTAAACTATGCAATGGAGGCAAATAAATAGAATTGATATTTCAATTTTATATTTTTTGAGAATTGAAGGTAATCCACTTAAATGCTTGTTCAACAATAAATAATAAATTTGATGCAAATGTCTAGTATTTGAAGTGGTGAGTTTTTTTTCTTTCTTTCTTTCTTTTATTTTTAATTAAATTAAATATATATATATTAGTATTTTTTTCTTTAATATGATCCATATTGATCTATATTCATTTAAAATTTTTTATCATAATTATTTGTACAATTATTGCAGTTTTAACAAATAGTTATTTACAAATGATAAGCCGTGGTAGCATAAAGAGTTGAGAGGTTTGACAAGCACATATTAAGTAGTACTTTGGATAAGATATTCTATATACATAAACTTGGACATGCAATGACATATACACGAACTAATAAGCTCTATAAACTTTTCATTCAAAGCATCGTTACCTTAAATAAAGTAAAAGAATATTAAATTTTAAAAGATAAAACTTTGATATTACAATATGAAATTATTGGTATTTTGCTTAGGCAATAACTAGAAAAGAGTGATGGATCTACTCACTAAGATTGGAGGTATGGAATTGGTACAATCTATATTATAGATTTAAATGGAAAATTACGTGCTTATATAATCTTAATGCTGATCCTATGCATCATCACTATGATGTTATATAATAATATAAATTCTTGCTTGAGAATGCATCAGGTGCCTAATTATGGAAGATAAATAGAAAATTTAACAACAAGATCCTACCAAATCTAATAGGATCTTAAATAAAATTTAAGTAATCTTTAACAATCTTAATCAAATTTTAATTAATTTTTAAAAAAATGGAAAAAATTACAAAAGAAAGATAAAGAAGTTATAAATTAATTTTAAAGAAAAATAATTTTAAAATCCTAAAGAAATTTTAAAAATAAAAACCTTAAATAAATAATAATAATCTTAAAGAAATACTAAAAATATAAAAAATAAAAAATAAAAATTTCTAAAGAATATTAAAAATATAAATTTTAAATAAATCCTAAATAAATCTAAGATAAATCCTAATCAGATCTTAATGTAATCCTAACCAAATCCTAATAAAATTCTAATCAAATCCTAAATCCTAAAAAAATCCTAAACAAACTCTAAATAATTCCAAGAAAAACTTAAATAAATCTTAATTAATTACTATAGTTATTATAAAACCTCAATAAATATTAATTGAACCATTGATCTTAACTAAAAAAAATCATATGTCAATCGACAAGCAATTAATAAGCACATAAGTTTTGAAGAAAATCAATTCACTAATTCAAAAGAAAAATCTTCCAAAACCTCACAAATATTAGCTACCTTCCTTTTCTAACTTAAATATTGATCTTTCAATAGCAATTTTTCCTTGTTGAATTATTAAATTGCTTCAAAATTTTTCTTTCATTAGTTTTTGCTTCAATCAAATTTGCAAACATTAAAAAATCACAAAAACCCTTACTAACCTTAAATTTTAATTATTCAAGACCATAATCCACACAAACTCTTATAAACATCAATTTAATCATTTAATTAATATCAAATTTTTTAAACCCATTCAAGACAAAAAAATTATAAAATAAAAAAAAATTACAAATAAATATGCTATAACACTCACAAAATCATCAAATTTGTGAATTTCTTTTTATTTTTTAAAATCCAAATCCATTGAATACATCTCTCAATTTGAAAAGCCTTCAAAACCTCAATATGTCTTAAAATTACATAAAATTAACTCTCAAAAATCCTTGTATAAGTCTCCTTTCAAATTCCACTCTCCAATCAACCAAAGAACTCTAGAATTGTTATAGGTGAACAGTTTTGTGCCTTGAGATCTAATTTCAATCATGGTCTACAACCAATCTTTGTTAGGTATCAATTTTTGGTATTTTGAGGTAATTTTTGCTAAAATCTATTTTTAATTTCTTCCAAAAGATATTTATATTAATTATTTATCTTATTTACTTTATTTGATTTATTAATACTTCTATAAAGTAAGTAGAAGTTTCTTCTATAAGAAGGCATTATTAGCACTCATTAATTTTTATTACTTCTGTATTTATTATTTTTATTTTTTAAATAATTTTTTAAAATATTTTTATTTAAGCTCTTGTATGATAAAATATTTTCTTTCTTCTTTCATCTAATAGCCGTATTACTAGACAACAACACTCCAATTGTTGCAATGTTGAGACAAGTGAAAAAAATAGGTTGTGTTGCAATTTGGAATAATGCAAAAACAAAAAATATTAATATGAGATTACAAAAGAAGCTTAAGTATGCTAATTATTAGAGAAGATCATGCATATTGTTTACTATAAACATATATACACATATATATCTACATATATCTATAAAAAAAAAAAAAAAAAAAAAAAAAAAAAAAAAGCTAGCTCACTAATTAGAATAGTTGAATATTTTCACAAAATCTGATTCTAAGATTAGTTCAAATGATACCTTCAACTTTGGTTATGAAGAATAGAAACTGAAATTGTGAAGAATTAGATGCAACAAAGTCAAGGTCTTTATTTATTTATTTATTTATTTATTTATTTATTTACTATATATATATATTATTAAAATTTACATATGCTTCTAGAATAATATTTTTGATAAAAATAATGTTTGTAAGAATATCCTCAATGAATTATTGTGTTAAATCAAATTAAAGGTTAATGTACTTGAATATAGTGCTTTTATGGCAATGATAATTACAACTTAAATTTACACAACTTTTATCTCTATGTATAATCTATGAGATTAATGTGCAAAATTAGTTGATTAGTATGCTTCTAGATTATTTTTTGTTTAATTGCAGGAGTGCCAGACTAATATGTGATAATTTTATTGTTCCGTCAAATTGAAACACTTGATGTAACCTGTAAGTAATTTTATCTTTCACATGCAAGTTTATCTGAAAATCAGTGCAAATAAATTATAAGTGGTCAAAAAGAAAGTGGAAGTATTGTCCCTAAAAAACATATTTATTTGAATTACGTTTTTATTAGTTGCATTTTCACAAGTCATTACAACATAAGTACAAGTATTTCATATATTTTTAATTTTTTTAATAAATATAATGTTTGTAAATCCATAAAAAGAAATGTATATATATATATATATATATATAATTTAACTTCTATAAGAATATCAATTATGACAAATAAATTATTCTTTGCATCAACTTCTGCAAAGAATATCATTAAATGATTACCAATCGATTATTTTAACAATGCTGTTAAAGAAAGAAAATGAGCTAGATAAATAAACCATGTACAACCATGTGGTTTTTTCAAAGTCCCATCTACTATTGGTACCTTCATTTCATAAGTTTAGATAATGACCTTTCGAAGACAGAATGAAAAGCTAACATGAAACATTAGTGCTAAAATAAATAAATAAAGGATGCTACACATGGAATAGTTGCAGAACCCCTACACTCCACAATGCAACGTAAGCATCGGCCACATCAAATTCCCAAATCCAACAACCTCCACTCAATCACATTCTCCACAGAAAAAAATAACACAAAATAAAATGTTCTTTTGATTGTTCAGAATGTCAAAAAGCACTCCTTTTCTCCTCCTATTCGTATAACATGCATGTAGATTCAACACACAATTCCGGAGGTTCTTTTAAGAATACAAACTGAATCCTAATGAAGCTATAAATAACAAAACCAGAAAGGCAATTGAACTGTGCAGGGTTTTCAACGCTGTCGTCGCAAAGTTTGCAGCACGTTTGTGTGTGGAATCTCGAGTGTATGTGTTTGAGAAGCGTAGCCGCGGCGTCGCATAGAAGAAAGCTAGGACAAGGAAGAAGACCCACCTGAAAGCATGAACATGGAGGGGCAGAGATGGATGACAGTGAAAAGCTCTCAGGTGCAGTATTTACAAGAGGGGGAGAGGGGACTCGGTTACCCCCACGGAGCCTCGTTCATCCCGCTATGTGCCCACCATGCCGCCACGGATTTGCGGAGAATTCTGATTGATCTTGTTATAAAATCTTGCGTCGAGCTTTCGAGGACAAGACGTACTTGTCGCATGACACTTTGTGGTACCCCCCCCCCCCCCCATTCATCGAGGACGGCTTCAAATATAGACGTGCAAGTGTGTGCGTATGCGTAATTGCGAAACTGTTATATTATTATATGACATTGACTTTACTGGCATTGTGATGACATCGGCGCCGTCTCCAGCAACTTAACTTAGCGTGCTACTGTTTTTGATTCAGCTACAACCCGTCTCTGCTGGAGATTTTTTTCCCTGAGGATGCAATATATCAATAGCATTCCAGTATCTGCCAATCATCAGATCAGCTGCTGTCTGTGCAGCGGGGTTGCTCACAAGCATGGCGATGGAGAGGACCCTGCTTCTGCAAGTGACGCTGCTTTGTTCGGTCCTGTTTGCCTCGTGTACGTGGCCGTTTCGAATTCTGAACCTGGGGTTAAGGTGCTGGTTAGGGGATTTGGTTTGTTCGTTTTCTTGCATTCGATCTAGCAGCTGTTGCAATAATCTGCAATTGCCTGAAGTTCAGAATCCAGATTTTTCGTGGCATTGAGTTTTCTGATTAGCTCACTGAAGGAAGGGCTTCTGTCCTGATAGCATTCAGAAATTGCTACCTGACACTAGTGCTGTGATAACATAAGATAATCGAAACTAGACATAGGTTGTGATCACTTCGTGGTATCAGGGCACTATGTATGGATAGACTCCTTTCTCTTAATACCACTAGATCTAAAGGAAATATTCGTTTTGGTAATCGACATTTTGGTTGGGCGATGCAAAGTCCTAGTCTTCGAGTAGGCGCAGTTTTTATCTGAACTTTGGTTTTTACAGAATTTCCAAAAAATTGAGCAGAATGTTGTTGCGATTTCGATTGCTGCAGATGTGGAAGCGCAATACCCAGGATGCGAGAAAGAAAGCACATTACCATCCAATGTTTGCTACTGGTCTCAAGGCACTCTGGTGGGAAAAATCCCCCCCGGACCATGTAAACCTGATTGCGAATTCGTGATTCGCCAGCCCGAATTTTTGAAAGTTATTGGTTCGTCACCGAAGGTGAGGGTGTTGGTTAGGACTCCAGCTCTCGAAGGTGGAGTGTACTATCCTGACAAAGACGAGTTCTACTTCTCCACTGTGAGATTTAACGAGAGCCAATTCAAGCAGCCATCGATAGATGTAAGACTATACTGATTTATTTTACTTTTCCTAACCTTTTCAAAATCTCTTCGTCAGTATTATTAGTTCTGTCATGTGAGATGTATTCGTAGATGAGAAAATTTGGAAGTGCATTTCCCTGAAATTGGGTTTATGCTCAATGGATGGTTTCCTTTCTGTTTCTCTACCAGGTGAAGAAGGTGAACCTAAGGACGCGCCAGATCACATCCATACTTAAAAATAATCCCCCGCTTGGCCCTTTACAAGCACTTCCTTGTGGAATGGCACTCGACAACAATGGCCACTTGATTGTAGCCTTCCAAGGATCAAACATCATCCCGGGCTCTATCAAGAAGTACAATCTGTCATCTACAGCCGAGGATAAGCTTATCAAAAATATGGCAGACAATTGGTTTTCAATGCCTTTCAATAGTCCTAACGATGTCGTTGTGAAGAGTGATGGCTCGATCTGGTTCACCGATCCCAGCTATGCCAGGTTGAGTTCACACCTCTCCCATTTTCCAGATCCTGACTTTGGATGCTGTTCTTATGTGTCTTCTCTCCGCGTTTAAAAGAGCGATCCACAATCTCATGCAATTGAGGTGGATGTGGCTGCAGAGCACAGGGATTGAAGACTACCTCGTCTGTGAAGAACATGGTTTACAAGATTGGATTGGATGGCTTTGTGGACGTGGTCGCCAATGGATTCTCCCAGCCTAATGGACTAGCATTCTCCCCTGATGAAAAGCGTCTCTACGTCACCGATACGGGATATGACACTGGACGACCGGGAGAGTTCGACATCATGCAGCCACACACGGTGATAGTGTTCGATGTCGGTAGAGATGGACTTCTGGGCAACCGGCGGTTATTCGCATCAGTTGGCACTTACATAAATTTCGGGGGCGAACTTGACATCCCTAACGGCATCAAAGTTGACACTAATGGGCGAGTTTACGTGGCCAGTAGAGATGGAGTGCAGATCTTCAGTCGCTCAGGACGACCCCTGGGTCTCATCAAGCTGCTAGGTGCGTCTAACATTGGATTCGGAGGGAAGAAGCTCGACACCCTGTACATGCTTGACGGCAAATCAATCTCCTACATCAAACTCCAGGTAGGGCCTTATTCACAACAATGAAGCTGTGCAACTTTAGACAAGTTGGAATCATGTGTAAGTTACTTCGGCATAGATTCTCTTGGTGAATCAGCTCTCGGTGACTGACTGCCACAACGCCCTACGTGAATCCAATCAGTGCATGTTTACTTTCTTACAACTCAGGCAGTGAATTTACTTGTGCATGTTTTGACGACGTTAACCTATGGATGCAGGCCAAAGGTGCTGGACTCAAGTACGCTACCAAGTCCAGTTTCTAAACCAAGAGATGGGTGTTGCTTCTAGCTTTAGACACAGAGATTCAGCCTACTAACCGAGAGCTTGAATCGTGGAGGAGCTATTACAGTGAAGGAGCTATTTCAGTGGTCGTGCTCCTTCACTAGCTAACACGTTTTAACCAGCTCTGTGAATGCATAAAGTTGGATTCTCATGGCCAATCCACTTTTGTAAGAGCTGAGGTACTATGGATGAAACCCAAATACCATAGATTGAGCTCAATCATCTTAGCTTAGTACACTACCTGCTATGTTTGGCATGGGCAACTCAGCAGCTTGAGAAGATTATGGTAGTGATCAGATGCCTTGAAGATAGTTTGTTCGCCTATGCACGACTCAATTTTTGATTCAGAAACTGCATCTAAAATCCTATCCACTTGCTAAACATTCCATTCAACTCAGTTTTCAAGGTCCCCTAAATTTTACTTGTTGAATAGTATCAAGGCCATTGTCTGGTAAGACTCGCAGTGTAATTGCAACTCCTGATTCCATACAGATCATGGTTCGTTTGACATGTATTCTTCACATCTGTAGCTTCTCTGTCATTGAAAGAGTGCAATAAATGCTCCCTAAGTTTAGTTTCTTGATGGAAATCTTGGGAGTGGAATTTGCACCAAATTTTATTTATGGCTTCAATCTACCTTTTATTGTTGTTATGCAAGTTGAATGTGAATGTAAAAATGATTTGTATAATAACTATGCAAGTTTTTTTTGTATATTACTTGGTTTTATTAGACTTAGTATTGTACCACAGATTGTAGAATCAAACATTTGTAAATTTTTTATATGAAGTATTTTTTATATTTCTATTCAAACTTAACTTGGTGGATATTTTAATATTAGAAGATGTTGTGAGTGTAAATTTCACTCTTCAATCCCAATTACAAAATGGCCTCAATTAAGAGTTGCTTGTAATTGGTGGTGTAAAGTGAAGTAAGCAATTGACAAAAGACCAAAGAGGAACAACCACAATACAAATGAAAGAAATGAAATCAAGTAATCACAACATCCAAAACTAAGTCATAATTTTTTCACTGGATTTTTACCAAGAAAAAAGTAAAAGTAAAAAAAAATTAAAAATTAAAAATTAAAAAGATAATTTTTTTATCTTTCCAATGACATAAAAATCATGTAATTATAAATTACTATGAATAAGTTATGATAGATTAAAAATAGAATATAAATAATAGAAAAATTAAGTGAATAATTTCTATCTCAAGAATAACTTGCTTATGAAATCAAGAGTTCGAGCCTCACTAAGGCTCACAAGTAGTGTATATTGGTTGTCTGAAGAGACTTAAGGCCTTAGTCTTATCTTCCTACATATATCCAAGGTGCTACAATCCATATGAGAATTATGCATCTCTCTTCCCACAAGGACTACACTAGCTACTAGTCCTCCTATTTTCTACTAGTAAAACTACTTTTTTATATTTTTGACTTCACTATGGTGTTCAAAAATATCCAATTAGCATAGAAACCTAGTATAGCCTTCAAATCTTGCTTCATTTCTTCATAATGGCTCTCAAGGTGATAAAACTCAATTTTACCAAAGTCTTAAAATTTTCTTTAAAAATTCATAAAAAATTATCAATAAATTCTAAATAAATCCTATAATATTTCTATAATACTAATATCCATATAATGCTATATTTTTCTATCTTTTTTATTTTTTATAATAATAAAATCAATTTAAATCCACTAAAAATCTTATTTTCTATATAATTAACTAAAAAGTCATGAAGTTCTTTTTCATGCTTCTTCTAACTACTAACTAATCATTGATAGGATTTTATAAGTGATACATATAGATAGGAAGCCAGTGAAGACATTGGTCTCAATAATTAACTCTTAATATTTAACAATAAAAAATAGTAATATTAATTTTTATATATATATATATATATATATATATATATATTACATTCTTCTAAAAAATCTTATATAAAATATCATCTAAATAAAATAAAACCCTAATTGCTAAATAAATCCTAAATCCTAAATCCTAAACTTAGTTTTTAAAATTATAAGTAAAATAGTTAAAGTATAATTAATAAGATATATTCTTTTATTTTTATCTATCTAATTTATCTTAGTGACATAAGAATGAATGATTTATATTGAATTATCTTCTTTTATTCTATTAATATTTATTTTATTATTAATTTATATATATATATATATATATATATATATATATAATTCATTCTAAAATACATACTAGTTTATTCTTTTTTTTCTTTGATATTAATTATTAAGATTCAATCTTAATTCTAAATTTTTCGTATATTCTAATATAACTTTATATGTAAATTCTATTGCATATGTTTATATCAACTATTAGGATTTGTTTTTTATTTTTTTGGTTTGTAAATTTTTTTTAAAAAAAAACTTATATTTTTGTGCTTCTCTTCAAAGTAAAATCTAAAATATAAAATTTTGAATAATATTCTTTTTACTCAATTATTTTGATATAGTTTTAATAAGGAACATAGTAGTAAGACATCATCCTTCTATTTATAACATATATCTTTGTAGTATTGATATTCTTTATATATTAAAGTATAATTTATTTTTTATTTTTTTCTCTCAATTACAATTTTCACTCGATATATCTATTACTCCTACCTATAGTGCACTTACTCCTAATTGTTTTTGCTAATATCATCTTCTCATTTTAGATTTTTCACACCAATACCATTCATTGGAACTGAATATTGTATACAAGTATCATCCATTAGATGTTGCATAGTTGCTAAAGACTCTCTACAAAGAAGGCACATATAAGAATTATAGGTAGCAACTTTGTTATAACCTCCACACTTTCTATGCTTTGGATTAATATTTTATCTATTTATTCAAATTTAGAAGAATTTCTATACATTCACATTTTAAAGGATTGTAAATATGTAGAGATTTGTATCACATCAAAGATTTTGTCCAAAATGTCAAAATCTATAATAGCAATTGACCACTTTACATTAATTTGTTGGTGACTAAGCAAATTCTTACATGTTTTTTCAATATTGTTGAAAAAAAATTTATAGGTTTAAATTCATTGTTTCTAGTTGTTTTTGTTTGATGGAATTGGAGACAATAAGAATGGGTTTGCATAGTAACTAAGGTTGATAAAATTTTATCATTACAAGTTCTTGTTTCTCTATATTGATTTTTTTAAAGACATATATATAAGATATGTCAAGGATTTTTAACAATATATTTCTATAGCAATTCATGTTATCAAGAGATTGGAATTTATGATATTACTCAATTATTTTTAGGATATTTTAGTGGTTAAAATCGTGTAATCTAATTGAAAATATAAAATAAAGAAGGAACAATGACCATACTTGATTTAATACAAAACAACACACTTTCAACAATACATGTTCTAAAGTATTTTCTATTTAGTTAAGATATGTGATTTTTGTCTTAAAACTTCTTAAGTGATGGCACATTTCAATTAAGAGATTGTAAGTTATAGTTTCCTATTCACAACAAGAAGATCTCTTGTTAAGCCTTTCATCTGTGTTTTGATTATTGCATGCCTTCTTTCAATACAAGATATTGTAATGTGACCTAAATAAAAAATGTCATTGATTGAAGTTCCTACAAAAAAATCTTTTAAGTTAGTCATGTATTTTTGAAGTATTTCTACACATCTTGCACCAATAATGCTTTAATATTGGTCATATAGTCACATACTTGTTCTTTGTCATATTATAACACAATATTTGTCACATCTTTGTAAACTTGTTGTATTGGCCATTTGTTGTGAAAATGGATTTTACATTCAAGATGACATTTTTTTGCTTATGTCAAATATAATACATTACTTTGATATTTGGAAACACATATAGAATAGCAATCATTAAGATTAGTTTCCAATCCATGAAAATATTCAAGTATTCCTCAAGAAAGTAGTCTTTAAAATACTTTGTCACTTACTCCAAGGCCCACTTAGCTTAGCAATAATTGATTGTAATGTCTCAATATACCATGCAAACCAAGTCCACTCTTTTTAATTCTCTATTTAGATGATTTTCCTTCTTTAAGTGCCTCAAAGGTTGCATAAGTGGCAAGAAATGGAGCTTCTAATAACTTCATATTGCAAGAATGTAGAATCTCCATCTATTACCCTTCAAGCAAAAAATTTAATGACAAATATAACTTTCACTTGCTATATTTGTTATTCCTACCTACATCACACTTACTTCTAATTGTTGTTGCAAGTATCATTGGCTATATTAGGACTTTAGAATGCTTATGTATGAAAATATTGTAGTCATCTTATAATTTTTTTTTAATCAAATCAAGATTCTAATTTTTAAAAGATTGAAAGTTTTTGTTCTTATAAGATCATTTATTTAGTCATGTCATATTCTTTTGGAATTATTTTTATAGATATTATAGATAATGATATTTTTATATATTAAAAAAATAAATATTTTTTTATTACTTCTTATCTATATATATATATATATATATATACATATTTTAATTTATTTATTATTTATTATAATTACTTCTAACACTTAAGTATATGTCAACTTGAAATATTTTTATTATCTTTGTACCTAGTGTAAGGAATTTCTTGCAAAAACATTAATTTTGTTAACTTATAAGAAGTTTGAGAACAATTTATCCTTACTCATTACTATCAATTACATTAAGAGATTATTGTTATCATCTTTTTAAAGCTGTCGATGGTAACTTTGAAAAGAGCAATCTAAAACCTACAAAATCTACTTGTTTGTAGTATGCTTTTTTAATTCAAATTGTCCAAATTCCTTTGACATCTACATTAATTAGGTAATAAAATGTCCAATCATTGTTGAATTTCTAAATTATATATCACAAGAAATAGCCATTTGATGGATAATGATGTTCTAACCATTGGAACCCAACTCTATTGCCCAACAATGCAAACAACCAGCAAACCAACACAACCAGATTCCCACAATCGCTAACTGTCATCTAAACGAAAACAAATGAAATACTGCTCTTTCCTTTACTCCCTTGCTGTCCCATTTCACGAGGGAGGATTGTACACTTCTTCAATCACAATGTGTGAAGAAAAGCGTGCACCCATTTGGTGATGAAATGCCTTAAATAAATTTACAGCTCTCATGTACTCCATGGAATCGTAGCATTGCTCAGGAATGGATGTTTATGAAACTGCATTGCATGATCTCAGGAGAGAAGTAATAGTCTAGAACCACGTAGCTCTGGACTTTCTTCAGAAGCAGAAACCACTTTTACGTATGTCCAACTCCTTCGCGTCCAACCTTGATTTTGCCTCAAATCATGAGGTCTGCGTTCAGGCACTGTAGTCAAGCTATGTCACCCTTTCTAATCTATATCGTTTCCAAAACCGCTTCCTCAATGTCCACCTCCAGCGAAGTTGCACAAGGTCTGCCTTCGATTATCAGTATTGAAGACAAGGCGAAGGCAGCGTACGAGACTATAATGCTCCACATACATTCAACCTCCATGTTGAGAAGTTACAGCCCGGCTCAAATGGCGTGGTAGCTGTGTAAAAGACACTCCTAAGGGCACATGGACTGTCGAAGTATTTCCACCGATCACTCACGGGGAATTGTAACTAAGTACTATCTAGGGTGTCACTTAAAATGGTAAACTTAATTGCCGCCTGGGACGTCACTACAGTACACAGCCATCCGGACTTGATATCGAGTTTACATGCTGCAAAATGCACTTCATCCACGTTCAAGTTACACTCGCATACGGGAATGGCTTCAGGGAAGCACCTTTACCGCCTTAAATGATACGCACAGATGAGGTAACTTTCGTGTGGAGAGTCTGCTTTTTATGACGAGAAGTGCCCTGCATACTCTACAGAAAACGGAGCTGTTTCAACTCACCGAGGCATACAGTGCATGCTCAAGAAAAAAATTAAGTGTAAGGCGTACATTGACGTAAGAACTAACTGAAATACAATTCTTGATTCAATGCATTCTGAAGACACTAAAATATGGATATTATTTAGACACATGCTCAATGAATTTACTGTCAAGAGAGAAATTTTGAGGTTTACACGAGGAATGTTTCTACGGAGATCAGAGCCTAGAGAAGTAAACACAACTTTCATCGCAATTTCGGGACTCAAGTTAGTTAAACTAGTAGTCACATTCTCCCGCTCGCTGTCAACGATAAAAGTCAATATTTTGCTCAAGAAGGTAAAGAAGGTGGGAGATCACATGAATACTGTCAATGACCATCGGAGACGCTGAATGGAACCTTATGATAACATTTAATAGATGGACAGTGCGTCCCCTGCCAAACATCCTAACAAAAACCTCAAGAATCATACCTAAGAACTGGCATTACCTTCTACATCACACATGCTTTAATGTTCACAGAACTCAGAGGATTGTTGAAGCTGCCACACAGATTGGCACTCGGCTTCTGTAAGACAAAATGTGCAGTCCCACGATACCTCGGGATGCCTATTTCATTCATACAGACAAACAAACTTACAACCATGAAAACCTAATCCATCTCCATGGCAACCCCGCTCCTCAGCTCTGAGGGGACAAACTCTTCCCAAGCAATTCATCCTCTACAGAGTAAAGTCTCCAGAACCTTCTTGAGTGCTAAACGGTATCAGACGCAATAGTGCAGTCAGATCTTAACAATATCAGGATGCCAGAATATTTGATTGCTAGTTAATGGTTCACAAAAAGAAAGATGTACCTTGAGAATGCCCTGAAAAATTGTTCAACATAATATGCTATCATAGAAGGAGCTCAGCAATCTGGACGGCATTCAAAGCAGCTCCTTTGCGTATTTGATCTCCGCAGACGAAAATATCCAGGCCATGGTTTCCTTCTTGTGAAACGTCTTGTCTAATGCGCCCGACTGCAACGGCATCTTTCTTGGAAACCTCAAGGGGCGTGGGGAAGTTATTACCAGCGCGGTCGTCGATAACAATTAATCCCTCAGCCTGGGAAAGAATCTCACGAGCCTTCTCTTCGTCCAAAGGTGTCTCGAACTGAAGGTTAATGCTCTCAGCGTGAGCCCTCATCACAGGGACTCTAATGCACGTGGCGGTGACTTTCACGTCATTGTCGCTCCAGATCTTGCGAGTCTCCTTGACGAGCTTCATCTCCTCCTCGTTGTAGCCGTTGCCTGTGACAGGTGAGTTGTGAGAGAATAGGTTGAATGCATACTGTCTATTGAAGATGTTGCAGGTGGGTTCCTTTCCTTCAAGGACTTCCTTGGTCTGAAGTTCTAATTCCGCCATTGCAGCAGCGCCGGCGCCACTTGCGGCCTGGTAGGTGCTCACTACCATCCTTTTCACCTTCGCGTGCCGATGCAGGGGCGTCGCAGCCATGAGACAGATGATGGTCGAGCAATTTGGGTTGGCAATCAGAGCTCCCTTCTTGTTACTCAACTTGATGTGAGACATGGCATCGGCATTCACCTCGGGCACAACCAACGGCACGCCCTCGTCCATTCGAAACGCAGAGCTGTTGTCCACGACAATCGTTCCCTGCGCTGCAGCCAATGGGCCGTACTTCTTGCTAATCGACCCGCCAGCACTGAACAGGGCAATCTCCACGCCCTTAAAGCTCTCCTCCGTAAGCTCCTCAATAACATACTCTTTCCCCTCGAAGGACATCTTCTGACCTGCAGACCGCTTGCTGGCTAACATCTTGATATCCCTGTAAGGAAAATCCCGATCCGTCAACACGTCCAAAAACTCCTGACCTACGGCTCCTGTGACTCCCACAATCGCCACGGTCGGACCGCTCTCAGTATAACCCATCCTCACAGATCCTGACCTCTTCGTGTGAGAAGATGCGGAAACCGAACCAGCGATAAACCTCTTTCCATTCTGCACTGAATGTCGAACTCCAGCGTTGATGAAAGGAGAGAAACACACCTTTCTGCTACCGCTCCTGACAACTCCCACCTCTACACTCCTCACTGCAGCAGATCCCACCACCGCAGTCTGGCTACAATGCATACTCACAGCCATGGCTAACAGGAATGGGCTCACTCAGAGGACCACTCGTCGTCACTGTGTGGAAGCAACGCTGCGCATGAAGGGGGGAAACAAAGGGCCTTCAGAAAGCCTCGCTCGGGACCTTTAGCTCACCTCACACAACTTGGCTGCAGGTGGCATCTAAAACCCTAAACCCTGTCATTGGGACGGATGCATCCCACCTACGTGGATAGCTCGTTCGTTAGCGCTTTCGTCTCCTTGACCCGCCAGCCGTGGCTAAGCTTAGTGGCTCACTACAGAAATATGGACCAATGGTGTCTTGACACTATCTTCCAGTTGTTTGTGGCTAGAGTAGACCCGCACCGTTACAATTTTATCTTTTTTAAAGTTTTTATATTTTTGCATAATTTCCAACAGCTGGGAACTAGAAGATCTGGAGTGAAATCGATTGCCAGGTGTGACAAGCTGCGACGTGATGACGGGCAGAGAGGGAAATAATGAAGGAGCCTTGCAGTCCATTTCCACGTAGAATAGGGGGTTCATTTGATTTCCGGAAGCAGATTGCGCAAACATTGGCCATGGCTATGGCCGTGGAAGCTATCTACAGTGGCACTGCTGTGTGTTGCACAATAGCAGGAAGCTACAATCGAAAATCGTGTACAGTGTCTGCTCAGCAGTGTCCAAGCTCCTCTCTCAAGTATCGTCAGCGTTTCTCTACATCCCTGTTCTCGTGTCCTAAGCAGGTGAGTCGTGTCAAATTTGTAAGTAGGGTTGTGTGCAATTTAAGGCTTAGCGAGAGCGACGAGGGGGCCAGAACGCCGGAGCTGAAGAAGCAATTAGAGGAGGAATTGGTCGCTGCGCAGAGCGGGAAACTCAGCAAAAAGGAGTTGGTGAGATTGATCGATGAAGCTTTGCGAGATAATCGAGACAGAGATGCTGTTGCCTTGGCGTCCAATTTGGCTGCCTTTGGTAAGGCAACTAGTGTGCCCTATCGTCTCTACAGCTTGGAAGAATTAAGATTAAACAAGATTGATGCAACACAGCTATTATCTCCAACCGACCAAACCCTTGGTAATGTGAAGCGGAACCTGCAATATGCTGCCATAGCCGGCGCCGCGGTAACGTGGTGGCAGCTGGGGTTAGACCAATATCAGCTTCTTGCAGCTGCTGTTCTGTTTTTGTTTCTGGGCACTGTAGATCAGATTGCGAATGGCGGAGGAGTAGAAGCCCTTCTTTTGGATTCCATCGGACGGATTTTGAGCCCTAAATACCAGGACCGCGTTGCTCAACATGAATCAGGCCATTTCTTAATCTCGTACTTGGTTGGAATTCTGCCCAAGAGCTACACGCTTTCCAGTTTTGACGCCTTTCGTAAATATGGCGCTCTCAACGTTCAGGCTGGTACTACCTTTGTAGATTACGATTTCCAAGAAGAGGTAACCACCGGAAAACTTTCTTCTACAACACTCAACAAATTCTCATGCGTGGCTTTAGCTGGGGTTGCTACGGAGTACCTTCGTTACGAAATCGCAGAGGGAGGTCTCGCCGACATTCTACAACTAGACGCCGTTTTGAAGGGCTTGACCTTCACGCAGAAGAAGGCAGATTCCCAGGTGAGATGGGCTGTCCTCAACACAGTGTCGATATTGCGAAGACACTTTGACTTGCAGGCCAAGCTCGCGGCGGCTATGCTAGCCGGCAAATCTGTGGGAGAGTGTATCTTGTTGATTGAAAACGAGCTCAGTGGATCCACAGACATCTAGATCAAATTTTCAACTGTTCAGAATTGTAACATGTTTGTTTGTACAATACGATTGCATATTTGCAGCGCTTGGTGCAGAATCATGTAACCTATCTTTGCGAGAACCTTGTTAAATGTACAAAACGAGTGCAGTAATGTCAAATTCTACACCGCAAGCCCTGATGATCTTTCCATGCCCACCTCAAGATGTTTACTTGGAACTGGGATTTTTAGCATACTTTGTTAGTCTCATCCAGTTGTAAATCATGTCAGAAACTGTGACCTCTTTTTACTGGATGGGAGTGAGTTGCAAGTGGTGTTGCCGAGTTTCTTGTCAGTGACACTGGTTACGGAAATATATATATGTATGTGTGTGTTTGTGTGCATGGTTTATTTGAGCATATTTGCAATGCATCCTTGAGGAACTCTCCATCACACGGCGTACCTCCGTCAGTGAAATATCCATGCATCATGTCAAAAAAATTACGGGAGAGGTGACTCAGTCTTCCTTAATAAAGATTATAAAATACGTTAGTCCGTCCTCTTGGCGTGCAGCGGTGGCTCCTGCCTGGAATTGGCCATGTGGGGGAGTAGCTCAAATGGTAGAGCGCCTGATTCGCATTCAGGAGGTAACGGGATCGATGCCCGTCTTCTCCAAAGGGTTCTCCACGACATAGCATTTCTTTTGTAGACACCCAGGTTTTCCTGCCAGCCCAAGAGTAGTGTCTCTTATGTAAAACAGAGATCAGGGAGTCAAACTAATGGGATAAACAGGAGGAGACAAAAGCTATCTATAATTTGAGTTTACAAAACCAAGTTAATGTTGATTGTATCAAAAGATTATGCACAAATGCATGATATTCAAAATAATGTAAGCTCAAAGCACAATCATGTCCATTGAGGTTATAGTATGCATTGGTCCAATCAATTGATGGTTAAGTGAACACTTGGAACCAAGTGTTGTAGCAATGAGCATTGCTCTCACACAAGAGAAGAATAGTGATTGCACACCTAAATTGAATCAGGTCACAACCTTCTCCTTATGAGGTGCAAGGTGGGAGTTGTTAAGGGGAGGGGTGATAATTGTTGGATTTTGTGAGGTGCAAGGTTAATCTCATAAGAACACAAATGCAAATGAGAATACAAATAGAAATGAGGCACAATCCAATGAAGAGGTTGGTGGTGTGGCAAAAAGGATGCATATTTGTTTTATTTTTCACTTTTGAGCCATGTATCTTCATAATTGGATGATTGCAATGACTTAAGCATGGTTGTGGGAGGCAATGTGAAGAAAATTGAACTAAAGTGGCACCACTTATTCAAGACAACGATGATAATTAAGCCGATCATTTTTTTGTTGAGAACTTAAATTTTGCAACTACAAAGGTTTTTTTGAAGAAAAATTTTGAAGAAGCATTTTGAAGAAGAAAATCTTTTAAGGATTTATTTAAAGTATCATAGTGAGATTCTATTTAATACATTTCTTGGTTTAAATTCTTTTGTATCATTCTCATAGATAAATTTACATAGTCATATATTGCATCTTATTTTCCAATTTGTATTTCAAAAGCTATTTTAATGAATTTGAAAAAATAATATTTTCATTTAACATATTTTTATTAATTTACTTATTATTATATTTATTTAATTCAAGTATGTATATTTTATACAAAATTCCAATAATTTCTTTTTATGCAGCATCTCTAATATTTATATCAGACATCTAAGTTTATTTTAATAACATAAAAGATTCTTTTAATGGAGATATTACCAAAAAAGTAATTATGAAGTTTGAAAAAAAATTATATAGACAAATAGAAGGTCAAACTTGTATAATATTTTATTTTACTCTACCTACTATTTTAGCTAACAACAACCAATACAATGCCTAAGCAAGCCATTAAAAAGATATTTACAATAGAGCAAAATAATAAAGATATACAAAAATAAGCAACACATCTAACTATAGTCATATTTGATTTTGAAAAGTGTAATAAAGAACATATAAATCATTATTATTATAAAGATAATTATTAACTACAAAAACAACAAACAAATATATTTTATAAAAAACTACCTAATTTTATTTATAAAATCATATGTCTCATAATTCTAAAAGATTTTTTAGCAAAGTATAGATTAAAGACTATTTTCTAACTTTGATTGTTAGTAAAGTTTGGGTCTTATTATCTTTTGTTGTACACCTTGTTTTATTGTAGGATTACTTTCTAAAAGCATATTAGAATTAAATGCTCATGATATTATAGATAATATTAAAATAAAAAATATATTTAGTTTGTTAAAATTATATTTTCTAAGTTTAATATATTTAAGTTTTTTTTATGGTCTTGCATTTCACTTAAGATATTCTTATGCAAACAACAAAAATTTAAACTTGCTTTATAAGTAAGGGCCAAAAATATTGGATAAATTTGATAGAGCTCCAAAATGGATGTTATTTTATAAGAAAACATCAATATCATGTTGCAACTATCTAACTTTACTAAATTAGTATAAAATTAAGTACCATCTTTAAAAAAACATATAAAGATTAATAACTTTGTTAGGTTGAATACAACTAAAACTTGCTTCATTAGGTATATTAAAAAAAAACATCATATGCCTTAAAAAATATTATATACAAAAAAAGAATTTAAAATAGTTAAATAATAAAGATTTAAAAAAATATATATCGTTTTTAGACAAGTAGAAATGGTTATTAAATTTTTTATTATAATTAACTCAAAGATTAGAAGTAGTTGAATAAATATATGTAATATCTTAAAGTTATTTTATTTGGTTATTAAGAATTAAAAAGGTGTAGTACGACATATAACTTGCATGATTCATAAGAAGATATTGTAATTCTTAAATATGCTTACCCAAAATATTATAATTTATAAAATAATTTGTAATTTATAAAATAAATTACAAATTATAATTTTATAAAATTAATTGTAGATTCTTATTAAAAATTTAAAAATTTAAAAATCCTATTAATAAAATTAAGGGAATAGAAATTAAAACCAAAATGAGATAAATTAAATAATGGATAAATAGTATTTATAATGGTAATTGATAATTTATAAATGTTAAATCTCTATTAATCAAATCTTATTACAAAACAATTATGTAATAAATACATGAAAAATATAGAAATAGTTTTTGTTTAATTATATATATATATATATATATATATATATATATATAGATATTTATAAAAAAATTAAATATTAGTAAAAATATTAGTAAATATACAAATTAGAAAATTTTAGTAGATTGTCTAATCATCTTATGTTTAAACAATATGCAAGTTCAAAAACAAATTATAATACATTGAAAGAAATTAATCTTTCTAAGATATTATATTGCAACAATCTATTACAAAAATATAGACCAAATATAATGTGTCTTTTGTGGCAAGCTATACTATTGTATCAAATTCTAGAAAGAATTTTTTTTCTTTTATTTTTTAACTTTTCGTGAAAAAAAGAATCCATTTAAAATAAATAAATAAATTATATAAAAATCTAAATAATATACAATTTAAACTTAAGTAGAAACTTATACTAATACACCTCAAGAAATTATATCGACCAAAGTAGAAAAAAAGTGAGTATATATTTTGTTTCCAAAAAAAAAAAAAAAAAAAAAAAAAAAACTTAAATTTCTTTCTTATTAGCTTCTATTTTTAAGTCAAACATATAAAATATAAAAATAGTAACTAAATAAAATAAACTAAAAACTTTCTTATAATTAATTTATTTCTAAAAATATTATTTATCTTTACTTCTTAACATTCTACATGGTTAAAACTTCTTTGTGAATAAGAATAGTGATAAAACAACAAATAATAAGTTATTTTTCTAAATATATTAAAAAATTTATAGCTAATTAATAAATTATATTAGTAGAATAATTATAAAATGATAATCTAATAAAAGATAATTATGAAATATTAAAATTTTCAAAAATATTTTAAAAATTCTTTGAAATTAATTTCTATAATATAAAACTAAAATATAGGATTTTAAAGAAAGTTAAGATAGTATAAAATAGCTTAGACCAACTTGGCTTAGTTTCTTTTAACTTAATACTTTTCAACTTTGCACCAACTTAAGAAATAGCAATAAAGATAAATTATCTAAAATAGTTTTTTATAAATAACTTAATTATAAAATGGTTTAAAATATAGTTGAACATAAGAAAATAATCAATACATTACATGTGATGAGATTTTTAAATTTTACAAATTTATACAATGTATCTCTTATCTAAAATATTAGAATTTATAACAAAATTAATGGTATATCTTCTCATACAACTAATAATTGTGTGAAATTGTTTCTACTCTCTCCTCTCCTCTTTCCCTCTATTTTTTTCTTTTGTCTTAGTTGAAATACATTAGAGATCCTTTAGTATATAAAATTATACACAATGAGCCTAATATCAATAACCCTAGACATAATTCTACTGTATACAACAATTGCAAGAACCACTTGGGACCAATACAATGTTTTACGTTTATATAATTCACTTTATACATCTATATCTATATATACATTAAAAAGGGGAATGTTAGACAGATCTAAGTATTTACTAAATTGATCCACTCATTCTAACCATTATGAAGAAAGAAAAAAATAACTTGTAGATTCATTTTTCCACTATTGGATCTATAGCCAACAAAAACCAACCACATTCATCATGATTATCATATTCTTCATCAAGAGTGGATCTATTTTGTAAAAGCATGGGTCTATGTAACGTTCCCCTTTAAAAAAACATAATTGAAATTTCAAATTTACAAATTCTCACTTCAATATCTCAAAAAATTCAAGCCCAATAATCACACTATCACCAAGTCCATAACTACAAAAAACATAACATGTACATATATATAAATAAAAAGAAACCAAATGCATACACAAGTGAAACACCAATGTCTTGGAACTATTTGAATAGTGTAACTCAAACCAGCAAGAGCAAGGTGGGGGGTGGGGGGTGGGGGGAGGGGAGCGTGTGGCCACCACGGGGATGGGGATGGGGTCTTCGTCTTCTTCTTCGTCTTCTTCTTATCCGAAGCCAGCCAGCCACTCACCTTGACACTGCTCCATTTCTACTCTCCACTGCTCTCCCCACTCCATGCTCCCCCCACCTCGCCTTCTCCGCCACTAGTCTCATTAGCTCTCTCTCTCACTCTGCCTCCATAGCCACTCCTCTGCCTCCTTGCGTCTCTCTCTGTCTCTTTCTCTCTTTCTTACCACGATGGCGACTACGGCGAGTGCCTCCTCCATGGCTGGTGCCGTTGTGGTGCCATCGCTGGCCACCGCGTCCACCTCCTCGCGGCGAGTGTCGTCGAAAATGGGAGTGCGGAAACTGAAGAATTTCGGCGGGTTGAAGTCCGACAGCCAGGTGACCCGTATGGGCATGCCCGTGAGTACCGAGGAAGCTTTTGCCTCTGTGAAGGCGAAGTGCAGTGGCCGCGTGTCTCGGGGTGGAGCTCTGGCTGCTAACTGCGATGTTGCGTCCGAGATTTTCCGCATTGTGCCCATCATGAGCGGGCTTACCCTCGTCGGTATCGCTATTGGCTTCGTGCTGTTGCGTGTGGAGGCGGCCGTCGAGGAGTCGGAGTGAAGGTCTTGTCGGCACTCTCTCTCACGTTCTGAAAACTTATTTGTCGAATTTTCATATCGTTTCAACGGTAGGAATTAGTGGTTTTAGCTCGTTGTTTCTCTTGAACCTTTTCAAGTGTGATGCGGCTGGTAGTAACACTTTGAGCGTAGGTTGTGTAGCTCTGTACAATGCTGTTGCAATTTCCCCCGCAGTTACTACTACGGGTAGCATACGTGAAATTTAATTTGATCTTTCAGTCACGATTATGGTAACTCAATCTCGTGTCTAGCTGTGTGGGCATCCATCACGATTCCTGAACCTGAAGTTGACCATCTTTTCAGGTGCATTAGGGGTTTTCTCTATCTGAATGAAGTATTGCACAATCTAATGTATCGGGTAATGTGCAGACAGTGTTGCTCCTCACCCCTCTAATCTACCTGGTCCCTAGGGAATCCATTGGATTCTTTTCTCTTCATTCTCTCTCTATCCTCTACATGAAAGAATCTGGATTCACCATATGCACGTCTTGAATGAAGTATAATGATCTCGACCTGCGGGAGTGTACACTGATCTCTGGCCTGCAGCCAGCCCATCACTAATCCATGCACTGATTTTCTTACAACAAGTACGCCAGATACCGAAGCATGTCACATCGAAGTGTACTTATGTGTAGATGCTATGAAATGTCCCTCACCTGATCGAAACCTCAATTTTAATCCCCGGACTGAATTGTGTAAGTGAGGTCTCTATTCAATCGTGTGTCCACCTGCACGAGATCAGATCATCTGCATTGGCTGCTGGACCCACATATAATATTATTACCACCCTGCCAAAAACAGCGCTATTGTTCTCGTATCACAGTGTACATGAGCAGGACAGACATGCATGATCATGAAGATGACTGGCACAGTGGACTATAAACCCAGTACTATACCTTGCTTAGCTCACTCACCACCCTCAGTCCAAGCCTCCGCATGGCCGGCGCCGACTGTTAGATCTTAACTACGCACTCCTGTCTTGCAGTTTTCTTATCTTAATTTTATCACACAGACGTTGCACAATATACCACCTTATCCGCAAGTAATCACCATTAATGAAATATCGCTGGATACAAAACGTACATTCAACTGTAATGACACACAAACAACCCAATGTCGAAAACTGCAGGAATACTGTTGTAAAGCATGTGCACATGGGAGATATTCTGGAGTTTATCCATGACAATCGTCACATTTAGTATATTCATCAATACCTCGGCGTGCAATTTTTTCTGTAGGTTACAGCAACATTGTTGTCATGTAGACAACCAGTTGCACAGCGTTGAAAACTTCCATCAAGAAATATAGGTCCCACATTCAAGTAACATACACAAACACACATGGTGGGAATATACTATATATGTATTCAAGTGTTACAAAATAAACAAATTTCAACCAAATATCTTCATTTCAGTATTTCATTTCGCTGCAATAATGTAATGTGTTTTTTTAAGGATACATGGCATGTTTAGGATTGATGTGATGGAAAATTGCTTTGAGTCGGTCTTCATTACACATTAAAATTGCATGGATTTTAGTGGATAAAATTACTGGTAATTACTATCAAGGATTGTTTGATAAACTTTGAACATTTGCAAAGCTGATAATGCATGTGCAATTGGCAAGCCATTGCCTACATTACACAGATAATGCTGTGTGTGTTTTTTAGTTTTTTTTAGTTTTTAGTTTTTTAGTTTTTTTTTTTTTTTTTTCTACAATACATGGCAATAATGCAAAACTATCATTATTAATACACTTTATCTCATGGTAATAATACAAAACTATGAAATATATATATATATATATATATATATATATATATAATTTCTTATTTAAATTCAACTTTACCAATCTATCTAGATTTTTAAAATAAATTTCAATACCTGTATAGTTTTTTTATAATTACTTTTATTGTCATTTACATTTTTTTCTTTTTTATTTATTATTTATTAACTTGATGCAATTGTTAAAGGAGAATGTTAGTTTAATTTGTTATTTTAAGAGTGGATTTAGTAAAAATTTAATCATAATGGTATGGAACAATCTTTATTTTCTTTCAAATGTATAATTACATTTTATTTTTTATTTTTTATATCTTTGATCAATAATTAATTTACAAACTTCTCCAATTTCTATTTTCATGTCTCAATCAATTTTTTTACCACTAATGTGCATTATAATTTTAAATTTAATGTAGTGATTCAAATCTTGATGTGATTAACAAAACTGAAGCATGAATAAATTGTAAATCAGTTCATTTTAAAAGTTACTCCATGTTCTTAGTATTCTTAGTTGTGCTTCTTGGTATAAGAAGTTAAGTAGTTTGTTGTACCTTTATACTCCATTAATGCATTGGATACACAATATTTTGTATATATGTATATCTATATATATATATATATATATATATATATAAAGTATGAGTCCTCTATTCATCCCAAAAATATCTAATTAAAAGAGATTTAAATCAACTACAAAAGATATTCTTTATTCAGGTTTTTTCTTAATTTGATTTAAAAGAAAGAAGGAAGAAGAGAGATAAAAGAGCAATAATATGGTCTACTCTACTAAACTTATGATAATCAAAGAATTAATAAAATAAATAGATAATTATTTATAAATATTAATAAATAGTTAATGCATGATACAATCCTTGGAGAAAGAGATATGTTTAATAAATATAGAAAATATTATTAAAATAGAATAAAACTTAGAAGAGTATTTAGAAATAGTTAAATTTAAATTAAAGTAATAGAGTATAAAATTTTAGTACAATATGTTTGTAAGGAACTTGGACACTTTAGTACATCCAAATCCTATTTCTTATTAAAGTTTAAATATTGGTGGACTAATATACATATGGAGTTCAGTCATTTTTATCTACTACAAGAAAAAAATGATAACCTTTGTATAATTTTAAATAATTATGCCTATGTTACAACACTTGTTTGTAAAAACCCCTAGATGTAAATAAAATCTAAATTATAGAGATTTAATATTCTATACAAAAACAAATTTAATAAACATGTGCTTAAAATAATTGCTTATTCTTTAGTTTTATAAAATATAGATTAGTAGTGATATCCAACAATCATGACAAAAAAAGGGCTTAATACATTGAAGTTAAAAAATTTAGAATATATTCTATATATTTGAGAATTAAGTTTACATCAAAAATAATATCAAAGATTAAAATAATTAGAAAAAAAACTAATAAAAATTATTAAGAATAATCTTAAAATATATAATATTTGGCAATGCACCATAGAAATCAAAACTTGAAGTTGTTATGTTCTGCAATGGAATACTATTAGAGCAAATAAACATCCATAATAAATTTATTTTATATTTTGTAATGTATAATCAAAAGCTTGTAATTTTAGCCATGAAAAAAAAAAAAAAAAAAATCCAAGAAAGAATAAAATAGATGATTCAAATATACAATAAGATATGTGCTAAAAATATTAAAAACAATTCTATTAAATTTTCCCTCTGCAATTAGACAATCTAGTTATTGCTTGATATTTCAAAGTGTGCACTTAGCCATCATTTAAAGAAAATAAATACCTGTACTAACTTCAAAGGTGATATAAGATGATTATGTGTGTTTTTAGTATATTTTATAATATCTTTCAAATAATTTTTCAATAGATTATTGTGAAGGTAATTGTTTTTTAAGGAAAGTTATTTTTAAAATTTAGAAAAACATGATATTTCTAATGCCACCTAATTCTTTTTATTGAAATATAATTTATTTTTATTATAATTTTATATATATATATATATATATATATATATATATATTAGAAATATAATAAAAAAACCAAAGAAATTTGTCAAGAAGGTAGCAAAACTTGTGCTAGAATCCATCAATTATCTATAATGTTTTAACAAGACATTGGCTTAATAGGATGGCACACACAACCTTTAACACTACTTTTAGATCACGTCCTAACAATTTATTTTTTGTTTGAGGTATAGAAGAGAAAAATGATGCTAACAACTCTGGTCATTGACATCAAAAGACTGTCATTAAAGCTTAGCATCATATGGTATGTTTTGCTAGTAATATGAGTATATATATATATATATATATATATATATATAATTCGTGTTAAGATTCATTCTTAATATCAATATGAAATTACATGACATTTCTTATTTTATGTGCAACTACAAGTATACATGCATGTAACATAAATATGAAAGAGGATAGTATTTCTTACAGTATGATATTTGATACTATTAACGTTTTATTTATGAATTTTAAACACATTTTAAGAACTGTATTAATTAATAATAGGGTAAAGTCCAAAATCAAAAATTGCATGATGTTTTCAATTCTATAAGTCCACAAAATTTTGACTTTATTTCAACAGATATATTAAGATTGCATTGAGTTAGCAGCATTGAAATTCAGGTTATATAACTTGCATACTCCCTGGAAATATATACATATATATATATATATATATATATATTTTTTTTTTTATTGCTATAACTTTAAATTTGACTTTTCCCTATTTATTAATGAGTGAAAAAGAAATATTTATGTTTTCTATTTGTTGAAATGTACTGTTTACAACTGGTTCTGTTTTTACAAATATACAAAGATAGTAGTAGTAACAATGACGATAAACTTAGTAACTAAACTATTAACATCGAAATTAAACCAAAATAAAATTCTTTGACCAAACCAAATCAGTTTTAAATTCTAAATATTAAATTAAATGTACATATAAATTGATATTAATATAGAGGTGGAAACTCTGCAGAATAATGCTTTTACAATTTTAGAACAAAACATAAATCTTCTTACTAGACACCTAAATATTCCTAAATATTTTACTCAATATTAATATTTGAGAAGATTTGTGTGCAAAACCCGACATTTTAAATATAAAATAAGATTACACATACAAGAATGATATGCCTGTGAAAATAAGTTACACACATAAAAATTACAACCACAAAAAATATGTTCCATTAAGAGTTCAATTACAGAAATCTAAAGACGGTCATTTATTTATTTTCATTACCACGCAATTCCTAGACTGTTAGTAGATTGTACAATTTGTTTGGTCTTCCATTCAAATACTTCTATCTGCAAAAACATAGAAGTTGTACGAACTTCCTTACATTAATTAGATATTCGTCCGAAAAATACAAAAGTAACATACGCCAACTGTGCAGAACTGCTCGAAAAGTGTGGTCAAGATCTCAAGTAATACACAAAACTCACATTAGGGTCTACAATACGTGATGTTGAAGCACCAGTTTTGTTCAAGTGAAGGGTGCTATATTTGTTAGAGACTAAGCAGCATTCTTTGTGAATATACCTTCAAAAACACAATGGTGATTGCCATTGGACCTTGGGATAAGGAATGCCTAATAAACTCAGGTATAGGAAACGAAATAAGACAAGATATAATGAAGAAAAAAAGAGTAAGGGTTTACAAGTGAGAAACATGCTCTCTACCATGTTCATATACAGAAGGAAGACCTAGAAGGCAAGATCTTGTTCCGCAAGGATGTTATCAGGCTCGACGCAATAAATCTTCTAACCAATGGCATACTTTAAGGGCCGGACAAAAATTGTAAGGAGAAAAAAGACTTCCTGAAAGTAATCACAAGCCACATAAAATAAAGAGAGTCATCCTATTGATATTCATAAATAGCTGAGTTCTGCGAGAGACTAATACCGGTACATCACTGAAAGTTGTCAACATGATGATTACCTACACTCTGGACACAATGGGTGCTGGGGACTCATTGTCCATGGCAGAAGCATCGAAACGGAGACTATGCTGCAAATCTTCACGTCAAAGTGACATATAGACGCTTCTTTTTTCTTTTCCAACCTATTGCAGGTAACCTGAAGCTACCAAAACCGACATCGTGCGGAGGCTCTATTGAATGGTTGTGCTCCACAGAGCGTCATCACCTTCCCCGCACCTTTGATGTACATCCTTGAGTCTTTCTACAGACTTGCAGATCCCGCTGCATGTCCAATCGAAGGAGGCAACACAGACATTCCCTGCTTGAGCCTTCCACTCACAATCCGGGGGTGTTCCACAGCACATGCTTCGGTCATCGATGTGGTCTACATCCAAGCCAATTATCCAGGCACCGAGAGATACATCTTCGTTGGCATACTTGTGCAGAAGAGGCCGGTTGACGTCAATGTAGGTTGCTAAGTCCTTGGAAATAGCATAAATCTGGCCAGTGGCGTGCCGAAAGTACTTGTTTCCTTCCTCGCCAAATTTCCAGTATTCAGGTTCGTGATACTTCACACCTTTCTGCGCCAGAACAGGCCCTGATTTCATGCATCCAATGTATACCCGAGGCTTCGTGCGATGTCTGGCCAATGTGGTAGCAAGCATCCCAACGTTCACGTGCACATCATCATCGACCTTCACGTAAAAATCTGCGTCCCATTTCCTCACTGCTGTTGAGAAGTAAATCTTGGTCTTCATCGAAAGCTCGTGGTATCCCTCGACGTGGTCAAGCCGCAAAAAATCGTTGTGCTGACTATCTTCTGCCTCAATTGCTCGGTCAAGAATGCCGCCAGGGGTCGCACTGTGTCCAATCACAAACCGCATCACAATTCCCTTTTCTACCTCAAGCCTCCTAAGATCATCCCCCTGAGGCATCCACGTTTCTCGTACGGAGTCTCGCCTCTTCCTACTACTGAATGCAGTATTAATTCCAATTACCACGAAAGCTTTCTTCCGCCCTTCGATACGCTCCCCAGCTGATTGACGTATAGACTCAGACTGAGAATGTTTCACTATCGTCGCTGTAGCCTTCTGTTCTCGAGCAGATGCGAGCTCTGTTTCTAGAGAAGCGACAGTCTTGTCCAGTGTTTGAATCACTTGATGAGTTCGAGATACTTCGTCCATCAACTCTACTTGAGAGCCATCCCCGTTGCCTGACCTAGGTTTAGGGTCACAATCTGTTCTTATCACATCGCTAAATTCAGGGTTTGCCCACATCCTATTAGTAAATAACAAGCCGACACAGAAACTCGCAACGCAGAGGACCAAAACACCTCTCCATGTTATATTGCTACTACTGCCCCCACTTACATTCCCCCTCATCCGCATCGTTGCCTCCCGTATAGGCTACGGCACAAGAGTAAATAATAAATAATTATAATAAAGAAAATAAAAGACGAAAATCACTCTTGAATACCCCAGCTACCCTTCTGAACCTGTCTTCTTGATCATATCACTCTGATCTAACCCTAGCTTTCACAACCCTCCCAGCAGAACTTGGATCTGACCTCCACTTCTTCTAGTGGACTCCTGCATGACGAGTTCCAATGAGAGAACTAAGGTTAAACTTCGGAGCGTAGATAGAGGATTTGCAAAAGACAGAAAGAAAAAGACCAAATGAACTTACAAATGCCATGATCACCTCCCTAAGTAAGCTCAAGATCACAGAAACGAGGGCTTCAGATAAGCTTGTTACCAGATCTGGGCGTCAACAAGGCTGGACGGGGAAGCCAACCCACTTTCTGGAAGAAATAAATACGCACTCCGACAGCCCCAAGAAAAGAAACAACCCCCGAGCTCCAATAAACCATGCAATGTCAGATCTCCGCGCAGACGGAGCTCAGCACCGACGAAGGGAATCTTCGCCAATACATTCAGATGCAAAAGAAAGCTGCTCAACTTTGAGCCACGCCGCTTGCCATAAGCCCCCACACTTTTACAGCGAGGAGGGGAGAAGAGAAGGGGAGAAAGAAGGCAAAATTATAATTATTATTTTTTTAAAAAATAAAACATTAAAACATTAAAAGACTACTAAAAAAAATTCAGCTACTCCAATTAACGTCCAACTTCAGTGGCGACACACAACGCAGAGATCACATCAACTGAAACACAGCAGAGAATCCTTCGCAGTGTGCAAACAAGCACATGGCGCTCAGAGGCTCCAGAAATCAGTAGACCCAGCACCAATCCAGCAAGATTCTCCCCTAAAAAACAGAGACAAATGAAACTGCCTAACTCTTCTTCCTGTTCACAGTCCACTATCCGGACACCCCGCACGGGCAGGCAGCGAAACTGCTGCACTGAGGATTCACGACCCGCATGAGAGAAAGTCAAAACATCGTTGACAGAGTACTGGAGCTATAAGAACTAAAATCCCAGACCAACGCACTGCTTTCTCCTCTCTCTCTCTCTCTCTCTTTCGCTCCTCCCCTATCCAACCCTCAATCAATCACCTCCCCCTCACTTATCGCAGCCAATCAGTCCGGTCACTGAGCCATTACCACCTGACGACACCGGAAAAAAAAAAAAAAAAAAAAAAAAAAAACTACCGCAAGGGAGACATGGGGAGAAAACTGGGTGGGGGACGCGACACAAAACGCTTAAACGCACAGCATACTCAATGCTAGCAACACTTCTCCTCCTCCTCCTACAACCTCAAAGCTCTCTCTCTCGCTCGCTCTCTCTGATGGTGATGCAATAAACCCCAGTGCGATGCGATGAGATGCGATGCGAAGGCTCGACTTCCGATACGAACCCCCCCCCCCCCCCCACGCTCCCTATGCTTCCGGCTTTTCACGGCGCTTGCCACATGTTATTATGACTGTTGAGGAGGATTCTTTCCACGCGGCCCCTTTCTCCCTCCCCCCTTCGGCACCTTCTTCTTCCTAAAGCACTGACTTACTTACTTCCTCACTAAAGCCCCACTCCCTTTCTTCCCTGCCTTGTTTTCCTCCTCCTTCGCCGTCGTCTCCGCCTGGCTTCTGCCCCGTTGCCTGAACTCTTCCTCCCTCCCTCACTCCACCGAGTGCGTCCTTCACTAGGGCTGAATGGTCTGCAAGCAAGCATGCAAGCGCGGTGTGACGGCGTGAAGTGAGAATCTTGGAAACATGCGATTTCGATGGGTGCAAAGTCTGTTCTGTAAATGAACAACAACGTGAACAACAACGCCGCTTCTCTGTGGTGTGTGTGTGTGTGTGTGTGTGTGTGTGTTGTGTTGGGTTCCTTGCAAAATGGGCTTAAAAGAAATGGGCTTAAGTGATGAGAGTCCCATCCACCCCCCTCTTCATGTTGCTTATATACCCCCCACCACCACCTCCACCTCCTCCTTGATGTTGCCCTTTAGTACTTACTTACTGTATGTGTTGTGTTGTCTTCTGTACATGGAACCAAAAAGGAAGACTGGGTTTTAGCGAGAGAGAGAGAGAATGACCATGACAGTGACCATGACTATGACCACTACTGCTACATTACCAACGGGGGGGGGGGACAATTGGCTTTCACCTTTACACCCACACATACTCATGCATAGTAGTAGTAGTAGCAGTTGACCATGGATGTGTTGTGTTTTATTTTTATACTTTATTATTTTTTCCCACTCATGGTCAATGTGTCTTGAGTATGACATATGAAGTTTGTATATACTATCCACCCCCAAAAAAAAAAAAAAAAAAAAAAAAAAAAACACACGTGTTTCTAATGCATGCAATTAATTGGAGGAAGATAATGAGGGGGGGGTGGGTTGCACTCATTGATATTTCTGTTTTTTATTTTTTATTTTTAATAATGGTGATTCATGGGTCAACCACAATGCTATTTGTCCTACAAGAGCCCCAAGCATTACCCCAAAAAGTTGTTCACATTTATTTTAAACTTTTGACCTGTTTTGGACATTGATCCACTTTTCAAAGAATTCCAGATTAATTTTTTTGAAGGTAATTTTGCCTGTTACTTACAAAAAGAAAAAGTAATGATGTGTACAAAAGTGAATTACCTGAAATACTGCTGTACCATCCACATTTATTAGTTTTAGAACCACTTTTGGAGAGAAATTCACTAAGATTATTTCTATTTCCTGTTTATACTATCATTAATCCAGTCACATCAATGTGCATGTGAGTGTATGTGTATATATATATATATATATATAAAAACACGGAGAGTGCGAGAGAGAGAGATGTATAGGCCCATGTATTATATACCCAATTGAGAAAGCAACTCTGGGTCTAACACAAGCTAGACAAAGAGCAATGTGTATGAAAATTGTGTTACAGTCCACTAATCATCCTAATCTGGGTCTAGGCTACCTAATCCAGGAAATGGATATTTATGCACCGTGGTCATTGCAAATTTTCTTTTGTAGTAGCCACTGGCCACCGGGTTCATGCGCCAGTAACATCTGGATACTTCTACAATAGTTGAGTAAAATGTACAGCAACATCTTACTGTAAATGGCAGGCAGTTCACTGTGAGGAACAAGAGCTGCATCAAGCTGATAACGGCCATGTTTTGTCCAGATAATTCACCAGATGGTCAGCTGGAGCAGAAAGAAGGTCAACTTGAATCTGGGTAGTGCAGGCTTGATCACAAATTAACCAGGATTGCATAAGATATGCTGAAACATGAACTGTTTGTCGAGGTCTCCCCTAACGCAATAGTTTTCGAAAAATCCCCGAGTTGAAGTGGGCAACTTCATTTATTCTATGGGAGACTCCAACTGCTCGAAGTTCATGACTCTGAACATTATACGTCGAACGTCAGGTCGTCCATACACGGTGTAGGCGAGTCCATGAATGGCCTGAGATACACCAGTTGTAGAAAAGTTCCTAAGCTTCCTAGATTTGACATACAGTTCTCGTCGCTCGTCAGAGTAGACAATATGATGATGCAGTTTGAGATTGCGAAGATAGAGGCCACATAGACGATTCAGAAGCAATCTGCGATGTCTTTCTTCAATCCAAGCACCCGGCGCATCTAAATGTTTCATGAGAATTTTCTCCGCCATTATTACATCCTGTGGCATCAATGACAAAGATCAGCAAAGCAAACCTAGAAAACTCGATTAGTAGGTATGGATGTATAATGAAAAGGTATACCGCAAAAGTTTCAGCTTTCATATCCAAAACCATTTTAGGGGTGGTGGATTGAGCGAAACGTTTTCCAAGAAGCCACCGTAAAGGTGGTTTTTTCTTTTTTTTCTCTTTTTTCTTTTATTTCATTTCACAAAACAAACGACAGCAAGCATGGTAGTACAGTATACTTCAAATCTTCAGCTCAACTTCACCATGAAATTTGAGCAGAGTAGCAACTGATAGAACAGATGGCACGAAAAAGCTGTGGTACCTGCACTTTTGATCCCAAATACTCTAATCGCTCATTACAAAATCGAGGGTGCTCCGCCTTGTGAGCTGACGGATGCAGAAAACATAGCTGTTCAACCACCGGAAAATCACACATCCAAATTAGCATCTAATTCAAAGCATATGACTATTTTTTCATTCAAACAATGAACACCTGAATTAGAAGCACGTTCGACATGCGCCCCTTAAAACCCTGTGGTGACAAGCATACCTGAAGCCCAAGCTGTAATTCAATGTTGCGTGCAGATTCCAGTACAGGATTGTCATCCCTCACAGGCTGTGGATAACCCAGTGTTCGCTCCACAACTGGCAAACTTTCTAGCTCCCACAGATTTTGGCGAAATCGATGCATTCCTGGAGGAACGCATGATCGGAAAAGTCTTGGCTCTGCGAACAAGGCTTCTTCAGGAGGCTGCATGAAAACAGAAAGTCGCCTTAGAAAAAGAAAGATATCATAAAATCAACGCAAGGCTTTTGGCAGTTTATAAAGAGCATATGCGAGAGAAAGCTAATAGTAGGCGCTAGACCAAGAAAATGGATAAGAAAAATTTCCTGGAAAATATGTTTCCACCTAAAAGCATGGAGTGGACGACAAGTCACTCTTCACAAGAGAAGGCAGTTTTCTTGGTTGCAAGCGGTGACGGTCAATCTTAAACGACATGAAATGTACAAACCCTTCTATCCCTAAGCAGTTCCGTGACACGACAAACTTCCACACTTCCGGTCTTTTGTATGTCATGCTACTGGAATCCTTTAGTTACGACAAGGTTTCCAAACTTGTTCCTGATCTGACAGCCACTACCGCTCGAAAAAAATATACACAAATAAAATAAGTAACCGTTTGTTTCTACTTAAACAACACTAGATGAAATTGAAAAATTCTGCACCACTGATTTGTCATCCAAATTTTCTGTCTTGGTATTTTTTAGGAACGAATTACTTCACTTTCTCAAACTGAAATACCAAAAAATCGAGCCACCGTAGGGTACATAATTTTAATACAAAACGCAATTTATTCACTGCATGTGAAATTCTTCGCATTTCACGTGAAATATTATAGATAGAATACCTGATAATAAGCAATATCTTGCCAAGAAAGTCTCTCTCCATCAAGCTCAGGCGATAAGTGATCCACATCTTCACAGACCCTAGGCCGAGGTTGAAATTGTGGGGCGTCCACATCGAAACCAAAAGCCTCAAAGAGAACACGATAGACCTCGGGCATACCCAGCGTCAGGTAGATAGCTGCAACTATCGCATGAAATACTGATCTGAACCACGTCAAAGATTAGATGTTGGTGAAATATTACGCAAGACGTCCGTCACAACCACAACAGTATAGCACAAATATTGAAAAAGATAAACTATGGTTCGCTAACCGAGCTGTCCATAACAATTGCTGCAAACAAAATACAGGGGGCTAATGATTGACTTATGAAGTTTAGTGATGCTTACTAATCTCACAGCCAGAGAGTGCACTTCCAATTTGATATACTCAATCCGACTTTGCAAACTGTAAGCTATGGGCACTGAGAAAGTCACAGAACTTGCAAATTTCACTTTTGATTTTGAGTTCAAGCATAGAAACTACTGCAATAAATCATTATGTACGAAACAACTCACTTGCAAGGCTTCAATTTGTCGCTCCACTTAATTTCGCCCCAATCGCCATCTGGATAAATTAGGCGGTCCATTGATGCATTCTTCAGCCAATCCGGCAAAACTTTCTTGTTCGTGAGCCCGAAAACACGCTCTCTCAAACTTCCAACCAACTCTCTAGGAAACATCTGAAGCACTAGCTCTGCCATGGCAAGTTCCAGCACATATTCCCCAAGAAATGCCAGTCGCGAATGGGCTTTCCGGACATAAGGTGCCTTCCTTGCCCTCACGCTGTCAGGGTGCTGAAATGCAAGATAAAGCAGAGTATCCAACTGAGCTGCAGGAGAACCCTCTTCGGGCGTAAATGACGCCAGTCCTAATGCATCCTTCGCTTCCAATAAGAATTCCTCCATCCAAGCCTCATCATGCTGATTCAACGGCGCTGAAGGCAGGCACGCACTGAGTAGAGGAAAATTCGTCAACGTCAACTGCGGGCTACTCAACAGCTTCTCCGCCAGCCGCGTATCATCGAGAGGCGGTCTCAGCAAAACCCTCTCCTTCTTAGGTTTCGGGAACGGGATTTTCTTCCGCTTCTCTCCAGGTTGCCGCGGCCTACGGTTCGGAGTCCACTGCCACTCCTGAGGTGTGTTTGGGTCCCCTTTCCAATTCTTCGCTGGGACCCCAACAGCACAAGTAACCAGCCTCGCACCGCGCCCTTTCCTAATTTGCAGCTCTGCTTCATCCACCCCACTTCTTAACAAAAACCCTCGCAAACAATTCTGAGAGAAAGAGAGGGGCGTCCGAGGGCATTTGAAAACGGAATACAGAGGAATCATGCTGTGTTGCAACGCTCCAGCAGGCGCCATTGCAACAACAACAACAACAAAACAGATCCTCAAATCCCCAAATCGAATTTCTCAATGCTTTCACAACAACATCTATATCGCTCACTCTTCTTTCCAAATTCCCAAAAGTATCCTGTCCCACAACACCTGCGCGCGCATACAACCCAGTAGTTTAGTCTTATTGATGTGTTCTTCTACTGGAATGAGGAGACGGATGGATGGATAAGGTTTAGGATTTAGGGGTTAGGGTTTCTCGTATGTAAATACCGGCTACATTCTAGAGTCCAGTGCCATAGGCACCCATAGAATTATCAAGGATTCCGAACGGCAGCTTTTGGGGTTATTAGCGAAAAGCATCGTGAAAGGTCTCTTGATGTGTTGCCACTACCATTGTAAAGGTAGAAAGTGCAGTGTTTGAGAGAATGTGATAGCACACTGTGGAGTAAAATTTGCAAACAAATGGTACAAGTCCAAGGTTGCAATATTCGGCGTGAAATTGAGCTGAAATCAGTTTGTGCAAAGCAATTAATGCGAATTGAATGGTCGAGAGTCACGTAGTACCGCATGTTGATTAACAAGAGTACTAAAAGAACCAAGAATTTTCATAAGATTGTTTTCTGTTTCCCCTATGAGAGCCATCGTCCTTGAGCTCTCACTTCAATGGACGGGCTTCGATTAAATTTAACTGTAATTTTTGCTGCGCATCACTTGAGAGGGCTTCTATTCTGTGCACTCTACAGCTTTCCGGGTTCGGCTACTTGAGGCTCAAATCCCTGTTCTTGAAATTCTCGCAGAGCTTCTTGCTGCATCCGCGACCAAAGTTTTTGAGCTTCTCTTTCGAATTTCTCCTTCTGGAGTTCCGACACTCTATCATCGCCAGCTCTCTGCCTGTCGGATTTCGTTCCTATAGTTGTTCCAGAAGCCCCACCTTTCTCTATGAACTCCTTCACAGCTTCTTTATCATCAGGATAGGGGAACACCCTGCGTTCATACAAGTTGGCCATCTCTCTTTCTTCCTGTACATGACACGGATTGACAAATCACTACCGACACGCAGCATCGTGGCTCACGGAAAACAGCACACTAAATCACAAAACAATCAAAACTACAACAATGGCGAAGTCACATCTGATCAACTACTGAGCTTGCCATATGAGCTATTCAACGACAAGAGATATCGCCAAATTGAGGATTATAAGCATGCAATTTCACTGAAATGTGCGAAAAAGCCTGTCGTCAATCCAGGGAGAAAACGACAACCTAATTTGGAAGAAAATTGCTCAACCAAGTGAACTCATTCCAATAAGGCACACAAGCTTCCATGTGCTCAAGACACCCCACCCACTCTAGTCACTAGCACAAAACTCACCAACTCAATCACAGGCCAAGCAACCACAAAAACGCAGCCCGACGATTCCAAAATTCATCAAATTCCAAAATTCATCAAATTCCAAACCTCAATAAAAAAAAAACCAATGTGTAACGAAATGAGAGAAACAGCAATCCTACCTTGGTTCGGGGCTTCAAAGTCCACCAACCAAGCGGAGCCGTTTCATCCCACCACCAAGCAAACCCCATCAGCGCGTATGTCCCCAACATGGCCTTGCCCACCTGCTTCCAAGCATCGTAAGACATGCTTTCTTCTTTCCTCTTTCCTTGAAATTCTCACACTTTCGTCGCATCACATCGCATCACAACACAACACCATCTCTGCACAACCTGCCGAAACCCTCCGATGCATCACTGCTTTGTGTCCCTCCCTCCCTCACAATTCCATCCTTTCCTTGCGTCCTCAAATGAGAATTGCACCTCAAACTAACCCTACGAATCCGTGGAAGTGCTCCAAATGCTCGATCTGCACGAATGGTCGTTAAACCCTGAATTACCCATTTGTGGGGTTTATAATCATGGGACATCTATTATTTCTATTTTTTAATACTTTTGTTGGGATGTTCATAAGTTTTTCTTCCTTCAAAATTTTATCTGTGTTATGAAAAAAAAATTGGAAGTCAATTGTTCATTTTTTTTTTTTTTTTTTTTTTTTTTTTTTTTGCTGCTAATGCCATCACAATATTGTGGCAAATATGATGCAGTGGCAATTTAATGTATGTTGTGTAGAATTATATCCAATCAAGATTCATTCTTTATGAAACTTTGATATATTATGAGTTCTTAGCTTATGAACATTGCTATCTATCTTGCTGACAACTATGTATAATACTGCATTCCATGTCCAAGGTCTGTAAATGACATTATGAAACATTATGAAACAAATAAAAATAAGAAGTCAATCCTTCTAGTACTATTTTTTTTAGTTCTTATATGGTGAGCCTCTAAATTTAACAAAAATTCTAAAGTTTAAACAAATTTTCGTTTTGTTTTTTTTTTTATTGTTTTTATTGTTTTTATTGTTTTTTTATTATTATAAATATTAACCCCTATTATTATTCCAAAATCGTTTATAGTTTCCTAAAAGCTATATGTTCTTTAAAAGAGTATTTAAGTTATTTCATTCTTGTTGAATTGCTAAGAATATAATTATTATTTATTAAATTAAAGTTAATTATAAAATATTAAGATCCTTTGAAGATTTGAAAATTTTAAAGACATATCAATTTGTCATCTATAGTCACAGCAACCTTTTACAATTTGTAAATTTCTAACTACACTTTCCAACAAAATGTTATTTGACAATCTATACTAACGTGAACATAACCAAAACAATTCACATTATTCTTTACCAAGATGAAATAAATCTCAAGCATGAGTTTAAAGTCTACTTACTCTCTTAACATTGTAGCCATTTTTTGGATTTTTTTTTATACTATACTTGGCTGTTCAAATCATGTATTAAATATAAAAACCATAATAGCTTATTATATTTGATGTATTGAATACACCAATCATAATTCATCTATATATATATATATATATTTATAATTTTTATTGGTTATAATATTCAAATTGATATATTTGGTTTAGACATCTAGTACTATAGTACATAAACCTATTATAAATTCTAACTTCAAATTCAAAATGAAGTACTAAATAAAATTTTGATTACTTTAAAAAATACTTCAATAATCTATTTTTAATTTATTTTAGATTTACTATACAAATAGGAGATTGTTAAATTGACCCAAGCATTTACTAAATTGACACACTAATCTTAACCATCATAATCAAATTCTTCAATTTCGGATTTGCATTGGTAAAAAATCAATAAAAAAAAATGGTTGGATCCTCAACCAATAATGATGGGTGAGTCAATTTAGTATATGCATGGGTCAATTCAACAATTCTGTCTATATCTCTCAATATATATAACATAAAAATACATTTGCAAGTACGGATATTCATAAAACTAGTTAATCACTTGAATTAAAATTACTTATATATATATATATATATATATAATTAAAATAATGATTCTTTTGTTTGCATGTGTTTTGCATTCCTTGAAATCCAATCCAAGATATCATCCCTTCACTTATTTATTACATCATATGTAAATTTCCTTAATAGTTAATTTTCATCTTCCAATATTCCACATTTTGGCTGGAGTGAATTGATACTTGGTCACGTTGTTTGAACTTATCCAATGCAACCAAATAAACAGAATTGATGAAAGCCTGTTCTTAAGAAAAACAGATTCAACGAGGAGCAAATAAAATCATGGAAGGGTGGGAATGAAGTGAGATGTAGAATTAGGGCTTGGTGTTTTCAGGGCAGCGGGGAGGACTGACTTCGCAGAGGAGGAGACATGGGTCGCGGGGAAGGGGTTTAGGGTTTACGCCTAGAGGACGGCCCTTGAGCCAATTCAATTCCAAGCTTCTCTTGCGATGGCGATGGCGTTGGCGGCCTTGTTGGCCAGGCTGCGCAGCCAAGGCGCTGCTAAGGTGCCGCGCCATTCCCTGCTTCCCGATCTCGTTCGCCGTGCTCTGCTGCCGACGGGGATTTCTCAGGAACAAACTTATGCTACCAGAAGTATGCCTTCAAAGTCGCGAGGAGCATGGGAGGTCAGTTGCGGTCATTACTTGTTTGTCTGTTGAATACTACGGGGTTGGAGTGATAGTGAAGAGGATTGTTTGAGAGGGATTGGGAGGAATAGGGAAGGATCGTTCAGTGCGGATGGTGCTCTGGGGAGTGGATTTGTGTGATGTTGTTAATTTGAGAGGTGGGATTGAGATGTTGCGCAGAAGTGTGGAAAGAGAGGTGATATGGACAATGAGGACTACGGGTATGCATGGGATGATCATGAAATGGGGTTTGGCAGGGAAGCTGAAATTCCACATTACGGCAAGAAGCAACAGAAGGAAGAGAAGAAAAAAAAAACGGGCAAGAAATCTTTCAAGCTGCGGACGGAAAAATGCTTGAGGCCTTTCAGCTTAGATGTTTTTCTGTCTGGGAAGTACATCCACGCTAGCGTCATGCATCGTGTTACCAGCAAAGTGGTTGCGGTTTGCAGCACTAACGCTAAGGAGTTCCGAAACAATTTGAAATCATACAAGGACTTTACTGCTTGTAAAGTTGTTGGAGAGACTCTAGCTCAGAGGGCTAAAGAAGCAGATGTGTTCACGGTCGTGTATGAGCCCAGGAAAGGGGAAAAATTTGAGGGGCGATTGGCAGCCGTAGTGCACACCATAGAAGACAGTGGCATCAATGTGGACATGGATTAAGGTTTAGGCCGTGACAGGTACACATGATCCGTCGTACTTGGCTCTGAACGCTTTGCCATCTGTATCCTTACTGTGAGGTCTAATTGTCTTGTGCAGTCCATCCAGTTCAGTTATCCTCTCAAATCACCAGAAAGTTACAATCCAACACTCTAGCTCACCTATTCTTGTCGTGGCAATATGTAGATTGTTGTCAATTGCCCAGGACTCTGCTGCGTTCTCAATAGAAGACTGGGTTTTCATGCTTAAATTTAAGTTATTCGAAGAAATTCGCAGTCATTGAGCGGTAACCGGAAGAAAAACCGAGAGGTTAACGAGAGAGGTGGCTTGAACTTAGCGTTCTCTTCCACGACTCACAAGTCCTGCGCAGGGTGCTTTTCCCATTGAATCTGTACCAGTGAAACTTAACAGCGAAGTTGCAGCGCTTGTGATTTCATGCCCATCTTCTGATGAGATTGGTTGACAACGACATCACGATTGGGCTAGAGTAGAAGAGAGGATAGAGAGCGAGTTTGTGCATATTGAGGATAGGTGTAAGGATTGAATGAGGCAGTTCAGATGTGATATGCCTGGCACTTGAAGCAGCAGTTCATTCATTATTTTTGTTCCTAAAGCACTTTAATTTCTACTCCGTGCACAAAGCTTGATGAAAAGCTTGAAATTTTTGTGAAGCTGAATTGTTGCTTGGATTGGCTTTTACTGTCTGTTACTCTATGATACTTGTTCAAAGAAGTAACTTCATCGCACACGATGCTCCCGTAATCCACCCTGTACACTATCTCACACATCCTTGAGTGTGTCTCGTGATCGTAAGCACAGGAGCTGGTGCAGATAATATAGGTGAATGGCAACCATTGCAGTCTGACTTAGTCTCTGTCGTAGGATGGAATAAGGTCGCTGCTTCACACAGTTCTCCCCCGATCCAAAAATGTGCAGATTTTGAGGGCTGAAATGCAAATTTCTGCCTTAGATTCATGCTCTTTTTTGGTATGATAGTTCGTTGGTGACGCAATTGGTTTCTTTAAATGTATTCTTGGACCACCGTAAGAGCTGCTTCTTGATCTCTGTCAATGGCTGCAGGTATTTAATGAGCTTTAGTATTATGCTGAGCGTGGATGTACTGGTGGAAACCAGCCTTTTGTCCAAAGACTCAACCTCTTCGAGTTTCCAATTCATGCACATCAGAGCTGCATCTGCTAGGTTTGGACACGAGAACCCTTCCGCATAAACACCAGGAATGATTGCTCTACAGGTGGGATAGTCTTTATACAACATGAATCCTTGCGGCTCCGGCACTAAAAATCATTTGAATGTGCACCAGTACCATATTCACGATGGATCAAGCAGGTCAAGTGGAACTTGAGTCTATCTTTTCCTGCATCAAGGTACTTCGTTTGCAACATTGAAGAGAATTAACCACCTTCGTCTTTGGTGATAGGAAAAACAAGCTGCGAACATACACTTTCATTCAATATTTTTCTTGTCGCCATTCATTTCAAATATAACGGAGAGGACCTTTTCTAGAGTAGGACTGCTAGCGTGGTAACTCGTGGCTTCAGTATTAGCTTAGCATGTGTTCAACAACTTGAAAGAAAAACTTACCTTAATACTGACAGTGAAACAACAGAAGCTGTAACACGTAATGAGAATCTACTGAGCTGTTCCTGCTGTCTCCACACTCCTTCGTCGTCTCTCCCAAATCTGCAACTGCTTCACCTAGAGGCAGCCAGCTAATTTGCATAAATGTCCTCAGCTTAGAAGATGCTGAGGGTACTTCTGAAGGTGTTGCAAAGCGAGTGGAGTTGGGAAGAAGTGACGGAGTTCTGATGCGGAACAAGGTGGGTAATTTGTCATGGAACTTCCCGGACATGGCTATGGACGCCACGCCATGCTCTTAACGACGGACTCAATCCAAGCGTTTACAGAATGGTCAACTTCATGGGTGAGTATTTTAGCACTCCAGCTGGCTGCTTAGTAAAGTGCCGTGTCTTTTTTAGTTTTTACCTTCGCTGGGGTTCCCGAAGTCTTCGTGCAGTAAGAGATGAGCTGCCAAGATTCAGGAACAAGGAGTTTCCCTCGAGGATGCGTTGACAGGTGAGTCTGAATGGGCTGCTTGACAGATGCTGCCTGAAACCGGGAGAGACATGTTGGGTGTTGAAATTGTAGGTGACCAAACTGAGAGCACCCAAACATCAGATTCTTTCTACGGTAGATAACACCTTTCCAGCTTTTGAAACCCCTGCTTTCATTTCTGCATCTGATTTTTTGCGAACTTCTGGCAAAATTGTTACACATCGAGTGTGATTCCCTGGTGGTGCCTGCGTATCAAGTTAATTGATGTGGAGGTTCTGATTCTGTTCACGCCCCTGACCTGTGTCACATAACTGCCGCGTTATGTTGGCACACATTTGCGACACCCTGGATTGACGTATAAAGTAGGTTGGATCTTCAAAGAATTTTAGGAACAGATAAGAAATCATCTTCTCAATCTCCCTCCAAAGCGTGCCATATTCCAGTACGGGATATTCCTGTTTTTTTATGCCTTTATGATCAAAGTCGCTGGAGACAAGGTTTCCAATACATCCCACCCGCATCCATGAAAACTCCCACCTAACAAATCGCTCTCAATCTAATTTTGATACCTGCGAGGGCATTCAATGCTATTTTTCGCTCGAAGTGCTACAGAGCGTGATTGAACAGACTAGCAATGCATTGGAGAAGAATAACTTCGGTATCTCGAACTGAGAGCACCGACTTGTTTGGTATACTGCGGTGAACATGCGGATGCTAAAGATGATCTTAATAACCTTACGTGAAGGGACTGCAGGAATAATAAAAATATGGTACATTCAACATATCCCAGGTGAAATCCTAGTGAAGCTTTCAACAATTACTGCGCTGTTGCGCCCTCTGCTATCAATGCATAGAAGTAAGATAACAAATGTGGAAGTCAATAAAGATTTACAAGGCTACCGCAAGGAGTATTCGGGAGGTACACTGCTAAATTATCAATGAGTGTTTTAGTCAAACGGTACAATTGAAAGAAGGACAATTGGATGCATTGAGTAGACAGAGCCGCTAAAGCACAGCTTCCATTTACAATTGCATAATCGAAACAAATGCTAAGCCTCACATTTACAATACAGTCTAGAATGTAATCCCTGTCTAAAGCTAATTCTGCAGCAGGCAGACCACCGTGCTTGACGAATCGCCAAAATAGTACCTCAATCCAAATCTTAATCTCCTAGAAAATGAGGCAGCTGCTAAATCTCCTCGAGCTCAGCTTCTAGGGCTTCCAGGGAAACAGGGCCCTTCAGTGGCATGTACTCTCCCAAATAGCCGTCCAGGTGCTCCGAAAGTGCGTACCGATCAATGCTCTCGTGGTGATAGGACTTGCACACGAAGTAAACAACAGTTTGCACCAATATACCGATCAGAGTCACAGCCGTCCACAGCAGCAAGAGCACCAATCCGAAGAAGACTCTGCCAAAAAGGCTGTGCACATGGTGATGCGACCTCACCGTCACGTTGTACATGAATAGGACGACGAAGGTGCACACCGTATAAATGAGGAACACGCAGCATCCCACCCATCTCTTGCCTTTGATGAGCTCGGTGCTCTTCTTCAGCGCGTTAATGCCATAGCTGTCCTCTAAAACGGACACAACACTAGCCAGATGCCACACCACGTTGAAGTAGAACAGAAAAGTGTAGAAGACGATTAGCACTGGGATGCCGAGAAACAACACGTTCATGCCAGTAGCGCTTTGTAATGCTAGGAGGAGGAAGATGACGACGAACAATGCGACGTAGTACAAAAAAATTAGAATATGAGCCCAGACGAAGGTGAAAAACAGCCGCTTCCAAACCTTGGGAACCACGCTGATCACCTTCACATAGGATAAACCTTTGCCTGTGTAGATGCTGGCCACACTGTAAACAATCGCGGCAGTTGAGAGAAGAGAGAAAGCAAGGATGAATATTACGTAGATTACTGTAATCACGCCGAGGCCGAAAAGTTCAGAGTCTAGACTGCTTTGGGTTTGAGCCCTTGCGGCTGAACCCATCTGTTCCGTGCCGAGCTTTTCCGAGTCCCAGTGAATCTTTCTCCATAATGGATGGGTAATCAGGTCGTGACAGAAAATAACGGCCCCCAAAGGTAGCACCAGGGTCAGGGATAAGGAGAGGAAGAGACGTAAGTGCACTTGCAAAATGTTGTACGCTTCCTTGCAGATTCCTACCACCCCTAAACTTCGCATTTCATCTGGTTCGCTGTCCATCATGAGAGACTACAACGCACTCTTGAGCTCCTTTCACAATCCAAAGGAGGTGATAACTAACCCAAATCCTTTTCAAACACTAGATAATATTCAGTATCTCACCCTGCACCAACCTCAACATACGATACTCTGTCATAAGGGTTTCCCAAGTGAGGCCGCCGTAACGTTCCAACCAAGAGCGATACCAAGTGTCCAGTTATTCTGAGCATTAACCTTTGATTGTGAATCCGCAATGCTTCCCGCAGCACCTGTCTAAGATCCAACGAGAAGCACAAGGCTCAGTGAAGTTATCATTAAGCTTTGGAACATACAGAACTCCGACTATCACAGGGATCTGAAAATGGGAAAATATTGCCAGCAATCTAGCAGCCTCTAGAACCCATTTCCAGATAAACAACGACGAACCTCACAAACGATCACTAAAAAGCCAACGACTCAGACCAAGTAGGATTGGTTGACGAAGAAGGACGGACCGTCATTCACTTCGCAGTTTCCTCGAACTCCACAACCTCAGACATCTTTCGAAAACGGACTTAAACGACCAACCGCAAAGCGAAACTAGGGCAAAGTCAACAGACCCGACAAGGAACCCCAACACAAGCTTCCACCATCAACGCACCGCCACATCAACACACCAAAAAATCCCACCCAACTTCCTACGCACCAGCAATTCTTCACATGGAAAACCTCCCGGAACCTAGACCTGAAGCCACAAAACTTAGTACGCAAGCAAACCTACCTCCCAAGTTCAGCTGAAACGCAACGACAAACGTGGAACGCTCGGATCCGTCACGTCGTGGGGAAGACTTGACGACGACCAGCACGAGGGGTCGGTACGAAAAAATAATGCGACCTTGCAATGCGGGAAGGACAAAAAAAAATCGCCGCACAGGTGAAGACAGCTATGAGTCCTCGGAGGGTAATGGGGGCCAGAGGGAAGCTAGGGCCAGCTCAAGGTTGGTGGATTGGCGATGGCACAAGGTGCCGTGACTGAGAGCACCTCTCGCTCTCTCCACGCGATGAGTCAACATCCGCGACGTATTGCACTTAGTCGAGCGGATAAAGTATGCGGCGCTGGAATATCGCAGCAGAATGTGGTGAATAGACTCATCGTCCAGATCATTGGTGCCAGCCGATGAGATCCCGATGTGGGTCCCACATCGAAGGTTCTCACCAAGCGGCCGGCCTCCGTCACGGGATCCGTGCTTGGCCCTGGTCCATGATTCCATCTATCATCCATTTCGATTGTTGTCCCTTTAGGGCCTTTAATGAACGCTGTTTCGCAGTTCATCCCCATTCTGACACCACCCTCTCCGTGTTGTTGCCTTTTTCCAGCTTCACCGATCAGGTTCCGTGGCGATGCGAGCCAGGCACGCGAATACAATGTCGATGCCGAACTACAAGGTCGTGATAATCTGGATGGGTTTCCTACCGCACGCATCGATCTCTTGACGTTAAGTTTGATAAGAATGGGCAGTTGGGTGGCGTTGCTCACTTGCTCTACCCATTCAAACACCACGTATCTTTGGTGTGGGACGCTTGTTGCTGAGTCGGCAAGTGTGAAGCAACACGCTTCATTGATCAGTTTTGGCCATTCCAGCTTGATTTGAATAGTCAGCTTGAAGAACGATAAAGTCTCCCGATAGAAGTATCCGCAGTGCCAGATAAAGAACTTTTACTCATCAGTTTCGGCAGCTGGAATGAGGGTCTTACACTGGAACTGGCTCACGGCTGAACTCTTCATGCATCGAATCTGACGCCGATGCCATCGAGATGCTATAATACTATGCTCATCTTTCTGCGTGCTCTTGGTCGTACCTCGCTTAAGAGATACATCACAAAAAACCTCCCCGTCTTCTGAGAAAACGTTACACTCGAGCATTTTCCTCTGGTTACAATCGCAGTTGATCTACAGAAAGACTCGCAGATATCTTCAATGAGGGGAAATCCAGCGCAGACTGAGCATTTGGTTCCACCATGGATCCCTTCTTGTTCACATCGCCTCGACTTCGAAGATTGCTGAATACTTCACTGAGCATTTAAACTAGGGAACATCAGATTCCAAGCTTCATCAGTTTCAGTCTGTTGAGGTCGACGAGGAAGGCCTTTCTGGGCACAGGCTTATTGTGGAAAGCCTCCGGAGCACAAGATGAATAATCTCCCTCGCACAAGATTTCCTATAAAGCTGTCATGAGGTGCTTTGATCTGTGAAATCAGATTCACCGACTGCAAATTCTGTGAATAAGAACAATATTGTGGTTGAGTTTAAAAAAAAAAAAAAAAAAAAAAAAAAAAATCCTAAATAGCTATTGTAGTTTAAACAGAAAAAAATCCGCAAGAATGAATTTTCATACAATAAATATAAAAGATTACAAAACCTATGTGATTGGTAATTATACATTTCTGTTTTAATATATTATATTACATTTCTTCATATTAAATTTGATATGAATAATTTTAATATATATTAAAATTAAATTTGATAGATATTTTTCATTTAAAAAATATTATAAGCTTAAAATAAATTCCTTGTAAAGAAACATGAAAATTAAATTTCTAGACAAAATTGTAAATTATTCATTATACTGTTTAATCTACATACAAACAATTAACAATTGATGAAATCTATATGAATTTTTTTATGACTTAATAACATAATTCAAATGCAATATGAAACCTATTGGGAAATTTTACTAAACAAAATGAGAAAAAATAGAATTTTCATTTACGTAATTTTTCTTTTAAATGTTTCAGAATAATCATAATAAAAAATTGAAATAAATTATAAATTATTTGAGGTTATTCTTGCATATTAATAATTCAAATCTATTTGAAAGTATATTATTGTACTTGTTAAGATTGCACTAAAATGATTCTAAAAAATAATTTAGGTCGAGTATAATAGAAGCTTGATGTATTCTTGATAAAAAGAATATATAGTCAACAGATTTTTATATTTAAATTTATAATTTTGATGAAATTTGTGGAAGCATCTCTAAAATTATGGTTAGTGATTGAAGTTGACAACAGCTATTTACGAGTGTAGAAAATATAGTATAATCTATGAATCTTTACTTTTACAATTTCTTATTAGTATTGTATTGATGAATTAAAAAACATTCAGTAAATATAGATATTTTCAACATGATTAATGCATGCAATAGGGTTTTATAGGAAGTGAAACAAAATTATCTCATAAATATAATTATGATTCATAGTTATACTTTTTAAAAATAAAAAATTTTATTTTTTTTTAAAATAATATGTACATGGTAAATAATAGATGTATATGATATATTTCTTTTTCTATTTTGTAACTCTTGAATAGTTTTAGAGTAATTTTTTGAAATATGTTTGAATTACACTGTATTACTAATTTTTTCTTTTACATATATATATGACATTAGAGTTTGTCAACAAAATTTCAATCAATAAGCAATTATTAATAATCTTCATTGATAAAAATTTATCTAATTTATGATTAGTTAAGTTTTTTGAAATATTATTATTAATAATTTTTTTAAGTGTTTTATAATTAATATATAAAAAAGTAAAAAAATTAAATCATTAGATGTAATTCTATCAAATTAGTATAAAAATACTAACTACATATTTTAATTATTCTATTATAATATAATAATACTAAAGAGAAATATAAGAACATTCTATGATAATTATTTTATAGTCTTAATCAAACCTAAAAACCAATCATTATATAATTTGGAAAATTATATCGTTATTAAGTTATTTTTTTAAAATATAATTTGAAATTTTTAAGATTTAAGAATAAAAAATATTATCATGATAAACTATTGTTATTTAAAATTTTGCTACTTTGTTTAAATATAAAATAAAATAAATTAAAATTAACTATATTATAGGTGAAATATTAATTAAAAAGTTCTATTGCAATTGGAAATTTATCTTAAGTTGTCTCTCCAATTGTTTTAAAGGAATTATTAGTTTATATTATAAAAATATAAATTTTATAATTTAATTACAAAATATGATGGTGTTTTTATTTTTAAAAAATTGAATATTTAAAAAAATTATTTAATTTAGAAAATACTATTATATTCTTAAATTTAAAAGTTTTTAAAACCAAAATTAATTTTACAATCACATCTTCGTATAATTTAAATTTAAATAAAAAATATATTTTAAATTATATATATATATATATATATATATATATATATGTAATTGGATCTAAGTATAAACATGTCATTTTTACAATTCAAATAGATAGTGAATCAATTCTTGATAATTAAAATATATAAAGATTCCAAAAAAAAATACTTTAAAACATAATAGACTAATTAACATAAACATGTTAAAAACCAAAGTCTTTGTTACAAAAGGTGGATAAAATTTGATTTTTAGAAGATAAAAAAGTAAAAATTAAGTTGTTGCATGTTTTAATAGAGTTAATTAAGTTTATTATCGTAAAAGATTTTATTGTGATTTGCTAATATAAGTAGCAAATATCTTCTAAAGAAGTTGAAGATGGTGAATTTAATGACAAGGTTTTTAAAGATTCTAGAATAAAAAGAAAATAAAGAAATCTTTAGGATAGTAGTAAGTGATGCCAAAATCTTACTTCAAGTCCAAAATCAAAATGTTTTAAGAGTCTCTAAACTAAAATTGAAGAAGAAATATCTAAAATTAATACAACTTTTATAAAAATAGACAAGGATAATGACTTTAGAAATTCTAGTATTGAATAATATGAGAATGGATCATAGTAAAATAGGAATTTCTATTGAATATTAATACTTAACAATATTACTATCAAGAACAATAATCTACTATTAAAAATAAATGATTTATTAAATTAGTTAAGTCAAAGTAAGTTCATCAATTGAATCTACATTAAAATAATGTATTATGAAATTTAGATTTATGCAAAAAGAAAGATAAAAGATTTAACATGTAGGATAAGAAATACATTATAGAAATTTGTGGTCATGCTATTTAGATTATACAATGCTTTGACTTCCTTTATTATTATAAATTATTTCATTTGCTAAGAAAATGATGAATTTATTGAAATTTATATTTATAATAATTTTGGTCTTTTTAAAAAAATGAGAAAGACCATAGAAAATATTTATGTGTAATTCTTAATAAGTTGCAAGATTAATTGTATACAACCTTGGAAAAAAATATCTTCTTTGTAATAAGACTTGATTTTTTTAAATACATTAGTAATAATGAGGGTATTAAATTCAAGGTAATAAAAACTTGCATCTATTAATGAATAGAAAGCCCTATTAATATAAAACTATTGGATACTTTCTAGAGCTTATATAATATTAAAATAAATTATTATGAACATTTTTAAAGATTGCAAGTTTATTGATAAACCTCCTCACTAAATAAAATAAGGTTGTTAATTAGAACGACAAGAGTGTGCAGACTTTCTAAAACTTGAAGAAAATTCTAACATCATTAAGAGTTTTTGATGTACATTTAATTTGACCTTCCATTTGTAGTGCAAATGTAAACAAGTAGTTTTGAAATATATATATATATATATATATATATATATATTTCATACAAGATAGAAGATAGAAGATTTGCTTCCTTTCGAAACAAAAAGGTCAATAGAAGTCAATTGAGATAGTTAACTCATAAAAAACTAATTATATTAAACAATTCATTACCAAAAAACATAAAAGTATTATCTTGGCAAGAGATTTACTAAGGTGTATATGAATAACATCGCTCCAATAGTTTTTGTCAAAGATAGAAGCTCTTCAAAAAGAATTCTAATATTATATCATAATTGTTTTCATAAATGAAAAATTAATAGGAAACTAACATATTAAATAAGTGCAAGAACTTTGAAGCTAAGATAACAAACTATCCACCAATAAATCTCTAAATTTGAACTTAATATAAAGTAAATGGAATAATACATTATATAAAGCATTTGAACCACTTATAATTGTAAAAAGTATATGTGTCTTTATAATTTAAAACTTGGCTATTAAAATTTCTACACTTGACATTGCAATAATTGAGATCAATAGCATTACATCAAATCATTGAATGTTAAAATTTCTACACTTAACATTTCAGTAATTGAGATCGATAGCATTACATCAAATCATTGAATGTCAAGCATATTTAATCATCACTTGCTTTACCTTCCTTACGCCCATGACTTGTACGTTAACATATTTGTCTCTATTCTATGGGATGAAATAGATAGGTAGTCCCATATGTCTACCACATAAATGCATAAAAATCATGAGGCACATTAAGAATCCTGACACATGAGGCCAACCCACTGTTCTAATTTCTACCCAAAACTCGCTCCATACCATCAGAGGGATTTGTGTCAAGAATACAGTATAATTTTGAGCTTGGGGCATACCCATGACGTAAAAATATGAAAGGTTGGAGTGTACAGGTTTGAAAGGTTTGCTAAATCCATCAGGTAAAGAATCGAATTGAAGCCAGAACAGAGAGACCTTAAGTTTCAGTTCTAGCCTAGCTCCCTCAGACAGCACTAGTAACACGCAGGATTGTGCATTAGCCCTGACAATCCAAGGAGTGCGACCACGCAATATCAGCGCGGTTTCACCAATGAAGGTACTTAGTCAAGTCATGCGACACGATAAGATCTCATTTACCTACGACACTCGAGTTCAATCAACATGGATTGACACACCTTCAAAGGCTCTGTAGGTACCATGATGATCTTGCAACCCGTTGGGCTTGCTGCCAAGTGTAAAATTGAATACATCAAGCCAAGAAGGACTGCACTTGAAATCAGTCTTAGCTATCAGTGTTGCAACCTTAACAAATGCACTACTTGTGGGTGGTTTTCACTGGGTTTGATTGAGTTTCCTTCATCCGTTCATACTCTTGACGGAGATCCTCCAGTCTCTTGGAGACCTAGTACATTACATTCGGTCAAGGACAATCCAGAAACGTCAATAGGCACACTAATTTTAAACTACAGCAATGGACGAAAGAAAAGTAGTGATTCTTGGTGTATGCAAGTTTGAAACGCTTTAATGCAAACATTCAACTTTCTTCTTAAAAGAATGGTACATGAGTGAAAGACCTCAAATGAATCAATCAAAAAGACCGCGGATAAGCCAACCTTAATATTGTAGGCTAATGGCAAGAGAACATCTGGCAGCAAAGCCTCTTCAGGGAAATTGCGAAGCGCATGCACTAGCTTCTCAAAAGGCAACTTGATCTGCAAATGACCCGCAAGACAATAATGTGAGCAGCTGCATACATCAAGGTATGGAGGAGTACTCGTCAAAGCAGAAAGATGCTTAATAATCAAGTTTCACATCTATGAGCATGAGTTTCCAGAGTTAATGCGAAGAACCAAATCAATCTTTGCTAGTTTTCTGTTTTTAGTTTCCATTTTAGATGCTCCTGAGTCGAAAAAAACTTATTAATAAGAGACGTGCATCTGACATAACGTTTTCATTAGGGGGTTCACAGCGTAATGAAAACGAATATCCACAAAGCTGAAAGCTTACCAGATCATCCTGGCAATAACGCAGGAGAGCAAGCCCAAGTCTAAAGACAATCTTCACTCCCTGCATTCAATTCACATCATAAGATGGGGTGCCTTAGAGTACGATCATAACAGATAGGCGAGCTCAACAAAACCATAGCATTTCCTATGCCTAGGATCATTGGCTTGCAAACGCAACAAATACACGCAAATGATACTGCAGTGAACTACTCAAGAGATATCAACAGAACACTAAAAAGTAGGGCTAATTGAAAACTACTAAAGCTTTCCTGAATAAAAGTCGAACTGCAAACTTCATGAGAGCTTGTCACATGTACGCAGCTATAAAAACAAGAGAGGAGGAATTGAGAAAAAACCTCGAACAGGAATACATCCCAAATCCGCAAGGCCAGCGAGAAGGGGAAGGAGTAAGAAAAGACTGTGATGAACCATTGACTAGCGTACATGCTCGGATTAATCATCTCTTTTTCAAAATGCGCTCCTACCTTTGGCACAAGCTCTTTGACCAACCTCTCAAATTGAAAGAGGTACTGCTGAACCAACGGCAGACCAACCTGTGAAAGGGGGAAATATGTTAGATACAAGAGACTAGGTCCCTATACATATGATCGTCATTTCAATTTTGGAGCTCGAACAAAATTACAGTGCGAATACCAAAGGAATGATTATTTATATGACAGATGGACCTACCAGGTAAAGGCCTTCCATAGGTGCGTGGACAGCACCTTTCAGTAGAGCAACTAATAGCCAAAAGGCATCTTCCTCACTCATGTAAAGCAACAACAAGCCTGCTAAGAATCCCATCCCCTGACAAATTCACACAAATAACGAAATATTTAAAAGAGCAACGAGTGTTTGACTTCACATGCATAATCTATAATATCTCTACGCATACACCATAACATCTAACCATGCAATCAATCAACAGAAAATCAATACATACGACATTCCTAAATTGCCCGAAGAATTCCTTAAATAAGATTATCCGGCTAAGACTCATATAATTCAATCCTCAAATGTTCAGAGTATTCTATACTTAACACAGAAATCAAAAGAGTGTTCAAAATAACGAAATCAATCGAACATTAAAGCAGAGTGAGAAAGTGAGATTCGAACTTCTACGGAATAAATAAGCTATATTTGTCTACACTACCGTCAGATTCTATGATGCGAGACATTGAAAAAACAGATGTTTTGCAATTTTGGATTTATACCTGCACATAGCCAACATCTCGGTCATAAACTGAGTATGCCTTGAGGACATTGTACAGAGCCCGTTGACCCGGCCCATGTCTTTGCTGGAAGAAAACATGCGATGGGAAAGTTCTCGAGATGTCTCTTATTATATCCAGTTCTGCAGCAGAAGTTTCATAAAGCACCAATTGCTGCAAATCCAAGAGATACTTGTGAACACAAGCCGTGTCATCCATGACGTTGTTTTCAAAGATTCCTCCGTACCCCATTGTAAACTTCAGGACACAAATGCAAAAGACGGATATAGGAAGTCTATAGTTCTAGCATTTCATATAAATTGACATGAAAATGTAAGACAAGAACATTGAGCGTTAAGATACACTCAGCTACAGAAATAGGGTTTCAGGGAGCACCTCGTAAACCCCTTGATTCATGAGCAGCAAATCCCGACTGCCGGAAATCAGCTGCCAGACAAGACCTCTCAGACAATCGGGGATGCCCTTGCGCACTCGTCGTTTGACAACCTGTGGTTTCCTTCTCACGTAGTGCTTCCAGTCTGTGCCCCCAACTCCAATCATCTTGCGCCATTTGCGCAACCGCCGTTCCTCCCTGATGATGAGAAGTACGGTGTATTTCAAGGAAGAATCACTCTAATAACTTCTGACAATCCCGTGCATAAACTTTACTACTGAGCATTAGCGACTTCAGCAAGTCCTAAGACATGTAACAAACCTTTCCCGCTCGCTCTGGGACCGACCCTTGGTGGGAGCAGATGCAGGAGATGTTGGTGACGACTTCACGAAACCATATCTGTCAACAGGGCGCAAAGGCGGAACAGGACCGGGCTTGAATTCCAGTTCATCGGCCTCAGATTGGCGCCTATTTTCACCCTCTGTGGTGGAAATATTCATCGTCATCCCGACTCCCTTCTGATTAACCAGAGGAGCTCACCATAATCGTACTGCCAGTACATAGCATTCACAGCATTAATCTCAACCCCACTCTTATTCAGTATTTAAAGCAAAGTAGCGACCCACTCTCTAACCACTTTACGATACTCAAGTTCAACTACTAGAGCGTCGCTACAGATAACAATTCCAGGCCAAAAATGTGGACTACAAATGCTCTGCCTTCAACAAAATCGTAAGATCAAATACCGAGTAAGGGACCGATTAATCGTTTTCCGTGATCATGACATGGACCATGCAAGTCATGTAGTGGATGACCGGGCGTAATCACAAGTGTTGGAATGTACTACGAATGATCCAAGTTTCCAATCATGTCAACTGACTCAATCGCAAGAGCCGCTTGAAGCGAATAAAAACTGTTTCCCACATCTTCTATGCATCATGATGCAACACATAGCTTTGGTCGCAAGCGCAGTCCCATCCTTGCCCCAACTTCGCGATCTGCTCCAAAGACCAGGTGCAAGAGTAGGTTGAATACACATCAAAGAAGATGATCCTAGGGTTTCTCACTTGGAAGACCGAACACATGCAAATAAACAGCTCTGCTTACCGCAACACCAGGTTCCAAGGCTCTCCCGTCCGGATTCACAAAACCCTCACGAGGGTCCAGACCTATCATAAAAAGAGACAATATCCGAATGCATGCACGTGTAGAACAAAATCAAAGTCGCCCCCCGCTTTTATCTCAAATTACGAATTCCACCACAAAGAAATGCTACGTTCAAAACCAACAGCATGTTCGAAGGGCATCCTATTGCCAGTCGATTTTACTTCCATGAGAACAGGATCGAATAAACCAACCGACTTACAACACGCGTATTCCCATGAGTTCGCGCTTAAATAAAAACTATAGATCCTGCACAGACAATGGCTACGATCTCCGGTGGTTGCGATTCTCACCCCAACCCCTCGTAGCTAATAAACTCGACCACGACCACATTCGCCTCGCCACAACTCAACATCACGCAATCTAGTCCCACACATCCTCCAACGACCATCACAGATTTAACCAAGAGGCACAAACCTCCCAAAAATTCGATCAGAAACGCACCCGCCACACCGCAAGAAAAAACCTCCCCAATCTATCTCTCTCGAGGCGAGCCTACATCTCACACCCCGAAAACCTCACGCGACGCGAGCAGGTAAGTGGGAGATAGGCCAGCAAGTCCACATCCCATGCACACGGGATCGTCAAAACCAGCTGCAGAGAAGGCGGCAGCAACAGGGCAGCCAGTCAAGAATCCGTGAGACAGCAATAGCAAAAAGTTTGCCCAGATTCCTCCCAATTTGCTATCTATCACGCACGACTGATTTACCGAGGATCCACCAGTGGATTCCACGCCGCGGCGATGGAGAGACGGCGGGAAGCCAGGGGTGATGCGAGTTAGTTTTTCCCCTTCTATCCCTCCATCACCGCCCCCTTCCCTTGCTTGTACAAGCATCCACGCCCTTTCTGCAGCGTGTGCAACTCTGTGATTGTGCTTTCGCTAATTCTACGGCTTCTGCGTATGTTAACTTTGCGCGCATTAACATCGTGGCCTAAAGTATTTTGGCACGGGCTCGTTTTTTCAGGAATTTTGTTTGAACGGAAGCGGGCTTTAATTAAATGAAGGCTTCTGGAAATAGACACTGCAATCAGCAGTAATCTAGGGAGTCATGACTATTGTGCCCTTGTGCTGCGGAGCAAACATTGCATCGGTTTCCGCCTGCGAGCGTCGGGGCTCTCGAGCGCAACTTGCACTTGACATTGATTTTGTTCATTGTGAATAAGGTTGGGATTCCTTTAGTTCTATTAGTTGTGGCTGGAGCCGCGTTGCACAAGGAACTTGCTTTGGCGACTTTGTGTGTTCTTAACTAACCTGCATTAATCACTCCTAAAAAGGTCAACTGTGAGTTGAGTAATCCTCATTTAAACATCAACTCCGAAAAGATGGTTCATCGCAGCGTAAAAGGCTAGGGGGGGAAAAGAAAAAAGAAACACTTCGTCGCAAACTTCGCATCATTCTGCAAGTCTTAAATTGAACAGTCAGCTATACTACTGATACCGCAAGGTCACACCCCGTTGAGCGTTGTAGGTTTCGTAAACTGGAATGGCCTTGAGAAAAATGATGTTACTGAAATGAGCTCAAGTAAACAACAAACAAGGGCATTCTGTGGGTTGTAGTGATCTTGTCATTCATTCGACTCGGAAGTGGGCATAGTGGCGATTGAGCAGTTTAGCTATAAGTACACCAACGCCAAGGTTCTGACACTGCAGGCAGATAAGGGTAAGAGACCTCGCTCATTTGTGGTAGAATGCCACAAGTTTAATCAACTAAGCACAGCACGTCCCTTGAAATTTGTTAACGTATAGTCATTTGTACACGTTACACATGTTTCTGTCAGGCTTGTTCGAACGTATGAACGAGCCAATACTTCATATAAAATCAAGAAATGACTCCTAATGCAAAATTTATCGAGAGCTTCACTCGAGACTGGACAAGTCAAGGACATCGGCCAGCAAATGCAGTTTCTGCACTTGGCTTCCTATATTTGCTTTATTCACTAACCTCACTTCAAAAGGGTATAATGATTACCCTCTTCTATCAATCAGTCCTCTCTTCCTAAAAGCAATGCCATTTTGCATAACCTGCCATCACAAAGATCATCTTTTTCTGCTATCTAGAGTTTATACTTCTAGGTTTCAAGACATGATTCAAGTGTCTGACCTACAGAATTGAAATTACTTAACATTCACGAAATATTAGTCCTAACGCAGAATATGAGGAATCCATATTCATACAAATTCAATATATGGGAATTTTTCCTCCGGTCCACTGTAGTGTAGAAACTAGATTCACCAGCTTCCTCGATGATATGATACTCACCTTGGCTTGAGCAGCCCTCATTATACGGGGGACAAGGAACATATCTGCGGAATTCCCTTCCCCAGAGCTTTGATCTATATTAACGCATCTCCGTCGCTTTGCCTTCTTTTAGCATCATGAGCCACATTAAGATCTCTGTAAATTCAAACATCACTAAAATCGTAAGGACTTAATTTGACTACAATCACAGATGTAATATAAAGACTTGAAGATAAAGACATGCAGCAGACCAATTAGCACAACATGCAAGTGGATGTACTGGAGACACCATACAGAGGTTCATCCACGGCATTTGTCATTGAAACATCACTAGGCGGTCGTTTGCCTCTCTTGATCTTGCGCTCGCGTTTGCTCTTTGCCCTGTCATTTACAATGGATTCAGTATAATATATCTAACAGAAATCTAAGGAGAGGTATAAAAGACGTTGAACATAATCCTAACATTTGATCAAGCTGCATTACATAACATGGATGCTATTTACAAGCTAAGTTAGCAAATATGCACGAAGTGAAGTCACATACTCATCTTGTAAGCTTGGATTTCTACAATATTTAAGCTTGCGGTCGATGTGCCTCACTTCTGCTTCTACGGGCTGTTTAGTCCCCTTGACCTGTGAATTGCAATGATACGATACAGAAAAGCTATTATTATCTGTGGTACAAGATAGAAACCAGCACAGAAAAATCTACGGTGACGCAGAACATGGACTTGAAAAGCTATTGCTGATGTATAAAATTAGGCATGTTGTCCAAGTTGGATTCTCCCAAACTATGTAAGTTTAAGCTACATTCAAAGGCAAGCTATGTGAACAAAATCACTCCATTCTACAAGTTGACTCGACAGTTACTCCATCATACCAGAAACTGAATAGCATCAAGCTTAGCAATCAATTCAGCGTATGATTGCTGCAGACTTTTATGTTCTGGGAGAGCTTGAAGATATCTGGGCCCAAAAATATGTTAGATTGAAAAATGAGATGTGCCAGCAAAAGGAAGACTCTAACAATTATGCCATGACGTGCAACATAGTTCCAGGATGGCAGGTATCAAATTAGCAAACAGACGAGCTTGATAGTGATAGTCTCCAACAAATATCGATCGTTATCTTTCAGTGTAAGAATGACCTCAAACAATCGTCAACTACCCATACTCAAGTCACAGAAAGAAAGGGTACCCGTCTAAATCCACCTTAGGCTCTTGATTGGCAATCCGAAGCGCAGCCAACGCTAACTACAGAGGCAATGGGAACAAATGAGTCAGAACTGCTAATCACGATGCGTAGGCTATTAGCACTTGAAGTCCTGCTTAAATGAAAAATACTACTGTACCACCATTGTTCTTGTCCACGCTCTCAATTCGCTCGAACATACTTCACGCTTACAGAAAGTACGAGATTTGTTTAACCGGATTTCCTGAAGAAACGAATAGGAACATAGCGGCAAACCTGGCCAGGAGGATACAGTAGAGGTGCATCTGTAAGCATCATATTGTCCACAACACGTCCAGCTACTGCTCGTAACTCCTGTTCAGAGTGCAATCGGTAAGTTTCTAATTTTGATTGAAAGAATGTTAATTTCGTCAATCTTGTTTCCACTAGAATTCAATTTCCAAGAAGAGAAACCTGAAACAGGAATCTCACCTGCAATGCTTCCAAGCCAGCGGAACCCATTCGTTGCACGAAAGGCTGCAGATCATTTGACCAATAAAAAGACGTCAATTGCATGTAATACACGAGTGTTAGTGGAGCTTAATCCATGGAACGTCATGCTAAAAATGTTGCTGGGTGCAGAGAAATCCTATGTTTGATACTGGCAGTACTGAATCTGTCTAACCCATCCCTTGCAAAATCATGCAGAGAAGGTATTCTCAAAAATTGGACAGCATTCCAGCACCATGGTGGCATTCAGGCACTAAACAACAACAAACTGAAGCACAACAACCTCTAAGTTTTAGTACCTTCCGAAGTCCAGAATAAAAGTAGCTGATGCTGGACAAATGCACGATGTATACTCCAAACAAAACATCTTACCTCCATATCATAGATGAAGCCCTCCATAGAACGATAAGGAGTATAAACAATGAGCTCAAACTCTAGACCCTGAATAAAAATGAACCAGATACGAAAATAATCATAGCGAAGTTCAGAGTCAATCCTACTCGAACTTAAATAAAAGCGCGAGAGAGATTTGAGCCACAGAGCAACAAAAATAATCCACAGAGCTAACGGTTAACTTTCATCACATTTCAACAAAACATATCAACAAATTGTCCCTCCAAATGAATCCACGTCAATCTATTGGCGGTAAGAAACAGACCGCCACTTCAGACCAAAATAAGCTAGGTGAATAACAGTACAATACGCAGATATGTATGAGGTACATGTGAGGCACATACTTGTAATACAATCATCTCATTCTTGAGAACCACTTGAGGATCTTGCTGGATACCCTTTCCCAATTCTTCGGCAGAAACATGGGACTCCTCTACTTTACATGCCAGATATATACATGTGAGCCTGCCACTCACAAATGAGTTCCTATTCTTTTCAGAATCGATACGATGTTTCAATAAATTTGAAGGTAAACTAATTCTATCTACAACAATTGAAAGTATACGTGACTTGCTTAAACATAAGGATGGCTTTTCGGAAGTCTGGGAATCATTGGAATTGACAAGGTTAGTTTCTAAGTTTCAGATAATATGGCAGAACCATACATAATATTTTTGGGGTCGTGCTCCATGACAGACCATTGTTGGTAAAATCTCTTAAAATACATTATAGCTGTTGCCTGCATGAAGAGTTTGGACATTGAAAACCAACGAGAAAACGAAAACCTTCAAAAATACCGAAAATGAGCTGGTGATTCAGAGCTGGAAAAATGACGTAATTCCTCGACGGTTACAAAATTTACATGTGCACATCGTGAACAAATGAAAACACAAATAATTTCTGATTATCTTTCATGAATAAGAATTCAGAAAAATGATTCAAGGAGATATGCACAAGTTCTCTTCATACTTTGCAGTAATCTCATATCCCTTGAGACTGGTTCTTATGATTATCCAAACCTGAATTTTGTAAGGAAGTCTAAAAGCTGCACAAACTTGCTGAATTTTATTCTCGTAGAATCTTCGAACAAGGAGCTCCTCTTCAACTGATAAATGCTCTGGTAAGGGCCCTTTCCTTCCTGACGAAATTGGAAATTCTTGTAAGAGAGTGAACACAAGCAATCAGGAATAGGAAAATGACCACGTAAGACATATCGTGGGATTAGATCTTGCGCGCTTCACCCACACAATGACACGCTAGAGTGGAAGATACCAAGGTCTTGTACGTGCATTACACACAAATAACTAATACCAGATTAAGAGTACTATTTGTAATTCAGATCAGCACCTTAATTTATAAATTCATGAGTAAGAGAGAAATACCGACCATTTTCTCCATCTCCACCAGCACCAGGGTAGGTCAGGCTCCCATCCGGTTGTACTTCCACTCTAGTTGCGCCATACTGCCATAATCACATCGTGGTCCACGGTATGCTCAATGCTAGTTAATTGTAAAACTTGGACTAAAATCCTTTCTGGACTAGGGCTTACACTAAAAAGCAGCAGTGAAGGTACTTATGACACTTGCAGTACAGCCTTTGAATAACAGAACAGCGTCGACTGAGGAAGACAACGACGACAAGAAAGAGCAATGCAGATGTAGTGCCGTTTACCTTGTGCAGAGCGTCCACCGCCCTTTGATTCGCGGCTTGATACTTTCTGGTCTGTAGACATATACAAACGATTGCCTAAGCATACAGAACTGCGACGACCAGAGCTATCCATGTCCAATTAACAATAAAACCACACTTCGTCTAAAGTTCGTAATTGTCATCCAATCAATTGTGCGGTTGCTCCCCAAACAGGCAACACATGGTCTCCGATGCCTCCCAAGCTCATAACCAGAATGTAAGCTGCTTTAGCCATAGATAGAGCTGGTTAACGCAAATCACTGGAACCAGTAATACTCTAAGGCACTGATATGAAATATTAATTACTGCCAAAACCCTGCTTGTTTGAATTACTCGACAATTAGACATCTGCACTAAAAGATATCAAATCCACTAGGACCCCGCACAGAATGCAAAAGAAACATGCTGATTCCGACTTCCCATTGCTCCCGCTCAAAATCTTAGCTGAGGAAAAGCACGAAAATGCAACCACCACTTAACCAATTCGTTAAGTTTATTCGTGCATTACCCTTTCATCATCACTTCCGAGATAGAATCAAGGAACAAAAGACCTCATAGCAAGCAGCTCATAAGTCACAATGCGAAGATGATAATACCAGATCATGGGGATTAAGGATCCACCGCTTCCGATGCGTGGACGTCGTGAAGTCAGCCATCAGACCTAAGCCTTCGGCTTCTCCTCCTACTCCACTAATCGTCCCTGCTCCCCTTAGCTCACAAAAACCTACAAACCAAACCCTTCTACAAACAATCTGCAATCACGGCGTTCATCCGATTCTTCACGCCCCAAGCTCAAACCACAGCCATATTCAATCGAAAAAGCCACCTCAAACATGTGCAAAAGACGCAGTAGGGATGATACCGACCATCCGTGCTGGAAGTGTGGGAATTCAAACGTGATTAGAAAGGCTGCAACTAATTATGATGCCGTTGCTGGTATGCGGGGCAGAGAAGTCCTCGACATCGCCATAGCTGGTGAAGACTCGAGTGCTGAGGAGGACGACATGGATGGATGATTGTAGGTCTTGGTTATGATGAACCTGAACTAGAGAATGAATGAAACATAGATGGATGATTATAGGTCTTGATTATGATGAACCTGAACTAGAGGATGAATGAAACATGGATGGTTATAGGTCTTGGTTATGATGAACCGACTAGCGTAACGAAAAATGCCTCCTCCGTTTTCATTCGTTCCCTTGGATGAATTTGCACGTAAATAGTGTTTTTAGTTATTTCTTAGGCTTGGACACAACTTAATTTTGTTACGGATGTTTCTTGAATCAATCATATTTTACTTAAAAGCATTGAACCATACATACATGTAGTACAAGTCCAATGGCACAACAAAGTTGTTATTGAAATACGTAAATTACTAGCCTCATATCCACTATCACAATTTTATAAACTAATGAATCTAGGCAAATTTAATACTTATTCCTCAGATGATATAGTTCTAAAATGGCTATTACTATATACTTATCTTACACAAAGATGTTATTGCAATACAAGACCTAGGCCAAATATACTATGCTTTACTTGCAAATCTTACCATAGCCTCTCTCCAAACAACATATTCTTAAATACTAAAGTATAATTTATTAAATTCATCTATATGAGTGACAAATTTCCAATTAAACTAATTTAAAGAAAATTTAACAAACATTAATATTGAATTGATGGCAATAAAAATAAAGGCTAGGTAATTGCATTTGTCATGGTAATCGTTGTGCATATATACACACATTCTATTTATTTAAATACTTTATAAAATAAAAAATAAAAAATATATATTAACACAAAAAAATCAAATATTAAAATAATACTTACTGACATTGATACCATGGTAATTAAGTACCTCACATATATTATTCTTTATAAAATGAAAACTAAAAATAAAGAACCATTACCTTAATAATCCATAGATTTGCACATGGTTTCTTATTATTCTTTCATCTTTTTTCTACTATCTTTATATTATTTTTTTAGAAAATAACCTTTTCAAAAAAGAAAGAATTATCTTTGCCTTCTAATCTTTGGCTTTTGGTCATAGATTTAGGAATAGAGAAACACTTGCACTTTATTTAGAGAGGATATTTACAAACCTTTGTTCTTTTACTACCTCTATATATATTAGCTACGAAAAAGGTCTTATAGAAGATTTTTAGAAATTGCAAGGCTTGTGGCCTAAATATTAAGTTGCAGGTTGCTTTCAATGCAATACTAGATTACTAATTTTTCTTATGCTACAAATATTTATAATGAATTTAAGATGTTTACTTATAACAATAAGTTTTGAATATTCATATTATTCTATATAATTTCAATATATATATTTTGACTATGATGTGATTTGTTTGCTATATAATAATCTATCAATTTTAAATCAAATATATGGATAAATTCATAAAATTATATTAGAAAGTTGTTTACTTAAAAATATTTGTTTCTAAAAAATAAATCATACTATGCTAAGAAATATTACAAGAACAACAATAAGATACATGTTTTGTTATTGAAAAAAATTCAAATTCTAAAATAAGAATATACATATTCTAAATAGAAATTAATACTTTTGTGGGAGCATGAAATAATGATATTATTAAATCAATATAAATCAATAATTAAATATACAACAAATATCAATGTTAAGAGTGCTAGATACATTTTTACACCCAATTGTTGTTGACACTGATCTCAAATTATGAAAATCTAAATCTACAAATCAAAAAGTGTTTTGAATATAGTTATTAATGGCTCTAGATCCATTACTTGTTATTAACAAAATTTAAATTTGACTAGTGGATATGACCATTTATGTGAAACTTTGTAGTAACATTTTTATGTTAAAGCAAAAATTGTTATTAGGACATGACATATACATATCACACACTCAATTGATTAGCAAAGCTAGCCAATCCAAGCTAATCATGCCAAAATCTTAATATAAATTGGCATATCTTGGAATAATTCCTCTTAATTTCTATCACACCAATGGCAATACCATCCATTACAAAAAAAAGAAGAAGAATACATCTCATTTACAAGGACCATGAAACAAAAAAATGAAAACTTGTCTTGAAAAAAGAATTAGGTCTTCAAAGAATATACAATATAATTGTTTCATTCCACCTTAGCTGGAATTTTTTACATTCGTAATGTGAATCAGAATCTTTAATTTCTAAGCTGTCCAAGTTTTGACCTAATCTGTCTCAGACTAGTTTGGCAACATAGAGGCTTGTCTGAAGTGATCTTATAACATTATCCTCAAAGGATTGTATACAGATACTTCATACCATTCAATGAAACACAAAAAGGTAGCAAATACCATACCTAGTGTTAGTGCAAAAAAGAAATGTTTCGTATGTAAGAAAATATCAAAATTCCTAGCTAAGATCAAATTTTGTACATCTTACCATCACTAGATAGTGCTTAATTCCACCACTTGCTTACTCGTTCACTAATAAAATATCACGCCTAAAAGTCTTTCATGGGTGCAATACAGTTATGGATGTTTTAACCTTGTGCTTGATTTCATGGCACACTGCAACTTTTCCTTCAAAAAGCTCGCTCTCTTGTACATAGGAAGCTGAACACATGTACCAGAGTGCACAAGAACAGGAATTGAGTTATTAGAGAACCAATCAAACAATTCAAAAGATTAATATCCTGAGTAGACAACATAAATACTTTGCCCCACTAGTAACAACTGTGTTGTGAAAACACATTATCAATATATTTGAGTGTGATGAATGAACAGGTGCAGTATATGATAAGTTTTGTAATAAGATTTATCATTGTTACCTCCTATATTAGATTTATTGTTTGTTTGAATGTTTTTTTTTTTTCTTTTTTTTTTTTTTTTTTTTGATATGTCTGTTTTTTTCCCACTTGTAGGTCAATAATTGATGATTATTAGAATTGCGTTTTAATGTAAAATTTCAAAAGTGTTACATTTTGGGATCTTTGGTTAAAACTTATTTATTTCCTTTTCAAAATACTATAATTATTGATCCAATGGCGTAACTTATAGTAGCATTCTCATAGGAAATATGTATTTAAATTCACACTACAAAAAAGTTACTTCAAAAATTGCAGTACTTCAGTTGAGCAAATGTCTTAGTGCTTCTGAAAATGTAGATAACCTGGACAATTTCATACGTTGCGTTCTATTTGGGAAAGAATGATATAACACTGGAATTAAATAGAAACTCAAACTGTACCTTCAAGGTGTTGTTACAAGTAGAGGCAGTCGGCAAACAGTTCACATCCTGACCAAAGATCTTGGCCCATGCTGACGTCTCACTAACTACCTGAACATATAGATTTTAGTTAGGGGAGGCTAGTAATAAACATCAAAATATTTTTTTTAGTTGGTGCCTTCAATTTTAAGAATAATCACTTCCATAAAATGTTAGGTCATAGAATCTTCAAGGTACACATTAACAATACAAAAGCAAAAACCAAAGATGCCATTCCAGAAGTCCGTATGTGTGGGAACATGGTATTCAAATAAATATACCCTCTCTATTGTAAAGGCAGGCTGCAAATACTCGAAGCCAAAAAGAGGTGGCCTCGAACAGCCGGTTACAAATTTTAAAAGTGCAGATCTTTCCTCCTCTTCAAACTCTCGGACTACCTGTGCAATGCGATTGCGGAATCATCATGTAAGGCACTGACAGTAAATGACGTCAAATCAGGAGTAAGAATATACATGGAAAAATGTAACCTGAGGGACCAAAAGTTTTTAGAATGTATAAACTGATCAACTAGATACCTCCCAGAATATTTTAATGGTTAGACTGGACTTCGAATAGCCATTGGCATAGCAGGTATGTATGCGCAAGTCATCCACGTCAAAATCATGGTCCCCTCCTGACACCAGCTGTGCTAGCCCTCACGATACAGACCACGACCGTCAGTACTCAGACTTAGGGAAGCCTTCACATTGATAAACAAGCAAAACAAGTCATTCGAGGATCACATTCCGCTGCGATAACACCCGTCTCTTTGGTTGCATCCAAAGAGTAGTACAGAAGAATAGTGCACAATGCAGGAGTATAAAATATCACTTCATCAAGAAACTCGAACATCTGAGGGAGTATTCGCACCATGCCGCCCTATGCATTACTGCGAACACTAAATTTTGTATAATGAGAGACATGTAAAGGATCGCGTAATCTCACCCGATTGAATTCCTTAGCATTGAAAAGTCCAAGCCACTCAGGATCGATAAGGTCTGCCATGCCTCTTACAAATGCAGCTGTCACAGGTTTCATCTGCAATGATGAAACAATTATCAACCAGACCACCGAATAAAACTAACCATGGAATCCATGAAAGGTGGAGGCAATAGTATATAAACTTCAAATACTTTAGTGTCACATCCAACTACGGAAACCAAGAAATGGATCATTGATGCAGAAATCAAAGGTAAGGCTTACCTGCCGGTTAAGTTTGTGGTTAACCACGGAATTCACATACTGCAGTTTGTTTTCATTTGTCACAGGTATATCAGCTCCACCAGGCTGCAACTCCACGATCCAATGCTCGTCAAACAGATCCTCTTTTACAGTAAAGTTGAGTTTCAGGTCCTGAGCATCTTCGCTAGCTTTCTGTGTGCAATTGAGAAATGTAGCCATTAAAGAAAGCTAGTTTTATCTCTTTTCAAATAGCATTGAAACCTAACAGTTATATAGCAATAAACACCCTTCTAATGAGCTGGAGCATCACTTGACAATATAATCCACCCGGCGAAGAAGTCGCACCATGTCACGAACAATAAGACAGTTTGCAGAACTTGTAACTGTCTTTCTGAAGTATTCCGGAAATTCAGTAAAACAATACAAGGCGCCTGGCCGAAAGTCAGTATGTTTAGACTCTAGTAGGTACAGATTTAGCATGTGAACAAGTAGTTTTACATTATGAAAACAGAAACTTACCTTGAGATAAACAAGCTTTCGGTGAAGCTCTGAGTCTTCACTTGAAAGATCATCAAGGAAGCTACATCGACCTAAAACTTTTGAAATAAAGAGTGGTGAGAGGGAATGCTCTAACAGAATTCCCTCATACAGTGCTTTCCCAACAATTTGCCCTAGAAATTTCAGTTTTCGTAATTCAGAATCAAGATTTCCGGCAGCAGCGCGAGGTAAAAGCAAGCCATCTGTCGCTGTTTGAACAAAAAGACCATATCTGCATGCAACAAAATAACTGGTTATTCGATTCATGTCTGTCCATTAGGATGGAGCTCAAGTTGAAATGTACCGCATTTGAATGTGACTCTAATTAACAGTGTGGAGCTACACAAGTCAATTTCACTTAAAGTTGAATTCTTACTCAGGATCAAAGGCTGTATTGGCGAGATCAGTGAGGAGCTCTTTCAATGAACCACCATGGTCAAGATCTGCCGCCGCAAGTACACTCTCGTTCTCAAAAGAAACATTAATGCAGGATTTCAATCTGGGCCCCAATGGGTTCAGTTGAGCAAGTCCATCCTCAAAAAGATTGTCCCTTTTAACAACTATTGAGATTGTTCCTGGAACTGGACTTACGGTACCTCCTTCCATCCCCTTCAGTAGCTTATCGGTTCGCACAAACTCACGGAATATGTGCACTCTGTAGCACAAAGAAATATATTGAACCAACAGAAGAATTCCACACATGGTGCATTAAAATGGATACTAAACTTACGAGCTGGAGTAAATCTACTACTACTGTGGGCAACGAAACCCCACACACTAGAGACAAAAGGGGTATTGCAAAAATATGCTATTTCAATTTACATAGAATTAAAGACACATTTAGACTCCGCAATGACATGAATTAGGCATAAAAAGAAACTTACCTCTCTTCAAATGAGAGTACGTGAGGAATTGTTCTCAGGATAGCCCCTAAGGCTGCCATCTGTGAAGACTTACAGCCGTTCCCCTCTGAGGCACCTGCTGCAGCACGAGAAGGGAGCTGTGTCGCAACAGCTGGAGCAATCCAAAGATATGGAGGACAAAAGCTACGCCGGCAATCCCTTTCGTATAAAGGTTTTACACATTTGATTGCAACATCCATAAGAAGAAAATTACTTCGCTTACAAGTTGACAACAACTCATGGTACACTAAAGTATTGAGCATGCCTGATATAACCTTTTGTTGCGCGAGTGTGAACGGTTCCTGCAAAACGGTCATATAAGACAATTATAAAAATGGCCAATGACCTAAGATATTATTTCCAACATATACTAGCTTGAAAGCAGAATCATGTGTTCCCGATTCCAGAAAAAATTCAAATATGCACAGTAGCGGGACTAATTCACTGTTAACGCCACAATGGATCAGCTGAATAATCCCCTACCTGACGCTCATAAAAGTCTTCATCATCTAAAACAAACAAAAAATGTGAGTAAGCTTCACAAAACAACAGCAACACAGGTAGCACTTCCTCGGGCACACATTCGGAACCGCTCTTCACATTGTCCATATCTGTGATCTGAGGTGCCACATTACCTTCAGTCTTCATATCTCTGCAATTCAAACGTAGCTTTGTCAACGAACAGAGTATGTCAAGTACCAGTTATAGGTAAAAGAATATTAAAGTTCGAAGTTTGTAGATGTCATTTTAAGAGCATCAAATTCTATATAGACTTGGTGCGCTGGTAACAAGCTCAACTCTGTCACCCCTCGTTCGAATTTCATCATTGCGTTTGAACGCAGTACTATTCAAATCTCCTTGATCAACACCACATATTATAAAAGAGCGCTAATTTTATCATCAGTTATTAGTGCCTGGGAACTGAAATCTAGCCACAAGTCTGCAATAAAACCATACACAGATCCAGCAAACTAATCAAGACAGAAAGAGCGCTCGACATGTGTAGTTCCAAGTCCTTACCTAATTGATTTCGACATACCGAGAGACTCATTTGATCCACTAGCCCTACTTGGACTATTAGAGATCGTTCTCATATCTCGAATTTCAGCAGCCCATCTTCGAGCCAGCTCCGGGTCAATGCGAGTACCACTCCTATAGGATCCAACGTCAGCTGATCTGCTTGTTTCTGTGCGTTCGTTCACAGCCCTTCTTTCTAGGGCAGCATCATGTCTTGTTAATTTGTTTCTCAATCCTAAAACAGCAGCCCAAACTCCAACCCCCGTTCGAATAAGAATCGCCTTTTCTGCTTGAATTGCTTGGGTTTCCAATTGATGCTTAGCATTACCCTGCTCTTGAAGATTCAACTTCAACAAGTGAGCCAAGCCAGGTGAGGCATGGAGCCAACTCCAAAGAAGGGGAACAATCGAAGGAGTGAAGGCAATAAGGTTGACAATGGGTAAAGCTCCTCCGAAGGGATTCAGGACCGCAAAAACTTGCAGCAGAATGGAATATATTTTTGCTACATCTGATAGAGTGAAAAGCTTCTCCTTGGCACCCTTGATTGATCCTTTTGCAACAGATATGAACACCATAGGAGTGGACTGGTTAAAAGTTGCTTTCTCCACGAGTTCCACAAGATGCCATTGCTGATGTAAGGGGCTTAGGCTTTCCACAAGCAACTGAATAATGATCCCCTCACAAGATTTTGAAATCACATCCCTGAAATCGTTGAAACCGATTCAATATGCATAGTCTTTTACGTTAACAATAGAGTACTGACTAGAATTAGCACGTAGTGCTCATAAAAAGAATTCCTGATGACACGTGAGCAACAGTCACTCGCGCACTTGGACAACTCTTGATAGCTGTATCTTGAAAAGGGGGAACTTACAAATTTACATTCATATAACTAAGAACTTTCTTCACTAAAACATGCAGTACTCCTTACAGCTTCAGAAGCGACTTACCCAATCACAACATTTTTAGTGTTTTCAACATCCTTGTCGCCTTCCTCCTCACTTACACTCTTCTCAGCTTCCCTCCTTTTCCTTATAGTTTCGATCCACATATTCAAGTCCTCTAAAAGGCAACATAAGGCTTGAACGTATTTTTGGCATGGTGAACTCTTCATAAATCGAGGGTTGTGTTTCAGAGTATGGGAAGCAAGACACACAACATTGGACAGAGCCCATGCTGAAAGAGGAACATCTACTAACTCGCAATCAACTCTTCCTTGGAATGATGGAAGGCAGGGTAAAACAGAGGTAGCTGTTACAATTTGAGGTGGATCCCTGATAGGCACCTGCATTAAGGAGAATTTTAACAGAGTCAGTGACGTGCTCTCGGACATGCCTGCGATCGGTGTTCAGAAGGCATTGACTTAAGAGGTGATAATAGCTACAACTTATGAACCTATCAAACGCCAGGCATAATAAACCAGAACATAAACCCCATTGAGGCAACTAAAAGACTAAATTAGCTGGCACGACCGACAAAAAGTGTTGATACAGCATCATCGTAACCTCAGACTTCAAGTAACTAGGAAACAAATAGCCGAAGGCTGCTGCGAAGTTTCTTAGTTAATAACAATCGTGTAAAATATTGACTGACACAATTCCAAGTAATGTCAAATTTTAGACACAATGAAACACCCACCTCGAAGAACCGCAGGCATGGAGACAAAACTAAAGGGTCTTGCAAAGCTGGCAATAGCGGCTGAGGAAGACGCTGCGTGAGAAAAGGAATGGTGAGAATGTGCACAGAGAATAGTGCAGCTGCTCTTTCTGCTGCGAATGTGTAGTCCTTGTAATTTTTCGAGTTCTCAGCACCTTTTCCGTCCTTTCTACACTCGGCGGACAGTACAAGCAGGGGTCTCAACAAGGCAGTGATAATAAGCTTGTCTTCCTTCCCACAAGGACTAACTTCTTGATTCTTAATCCCTGGAACCAGGAAATTTTCTAATATATATGACCGAACAGCTAAGAAAAAACCGGCACTTTCACTTGCAAGCCACTCCAGCAGACTCAGTACCACAAGGTCTGCTTTCCGCTTCCTAACCACTTGCTCTGGACCACCCAAACACTTCCATGTGCTACTGTCCGTTAATGAAACCATCACTTGTATTGCTAATCTTGCTAAGTTGGAGTCGGCTTGAGCTAAATGGTTTGTTTTCGTCCCTTTCTGATCTGCATAACTCTCCTTTTGCAAAGCAGCACAAGCAAGCCTCAGAAGTTCTCTTGCTTGATACATCCATTTCGACATTTCTTCCGGAGACCCAACAGATAAATTGCAATAGTTGAATCGCATATCTGAGAGCATAGCATCCTCACAACAGTTCAGGAATGAGCAGGATTGGCTTTAACAGTCATTATTGTACTTCCACCCTACCTATGCTGGCCTTACCAAGTGAAGTACGAAAACAAACAGAGTCCAAACACGAGCAAACATTGTGCAACTACTAGTCCATATTTTTCTTGTTCGTGTATAAACTGAAGGTTATAATGAAAAGGATCCCTAAGGGAAACATAGCAAAATGCTCATCATCTGAACTCACTTGTGTATAATCTGATACAGAACATAGTCGAAAGAACGACCTGGATTGTGAATGCTTTGTAAGAGTAGTCGAAAACATGTTGTAAGTCGGCCAGCATCTTCAGCGATCTGACGCAGATTGAAAGGACTTGACGGCTTCAGTATCATGAAGAGGGGACGCAGGATTTGATTAGAGATAACGTTAGCGGAAACTGGGGATTCATCCTCAGAATGTCGTGATAGAAATTTCTCATCCCATTCAACGCGAGCTTGGGCAGCAACTTTTCTTGCAACAGTGCGACCCCTCCAAATTCTCTACAATCGAATTAAGAAAAATTACCTGTAGTGTCTAAAAGAGGAACTTAAATATTCTCAACATAAAGTATAGACCTCATTCATGCAGCTTCGGGGCAAACGGTACCTGAACAACCAAGGCCGAGACATCACCCCGTTGGACAAGAGAACCGATTGCTCTCTCCTGTGTCACTCGATCCAGCAACTCCTGCTGATTTTGCTCCTTTGCACTACAACCTCTAAGAGCCGCCTGATTCAATCGAAGATAAGTAAAAGAATATCAAGACAACATTCAGCTGATGCAATCCCATCGTCTGTCAGAAAATCCAAAATGCCTTCAATTTGAACAACTTCGCATTAAAATTAATAATATTCTCAACGGTGTTACAGCAACCAAGAGCAGGACATAAATGCCAGAGAAAAATTCTAATTGCATGCTGACACAGAGTTCTGTTCATTATCAACAAAGTCATAGTTCATATAGTTGGAAAACGCTGAAAAATAGAGTTTCTCACAATCTCATAGAAGTTAAGAATCTTCACAATTCAGTGGCTTATCAAGCGGGTATCATATAAACCATAGTCTTGCAGCAAAGAAAACTTCCAATCTTCCAAGTTTGTTTTCGTCGACTCGATAAGCCACACTGTAGGAACTACTAAATTCAGAGCTAAATTTTCAAGGTGCAATTTTAAGAAGAGCACTAACCAAAGCGTTTACCTGCAGATCTCTTGAAACATTCTGCATCGTTCCCTAAATCAGGCCCTCGCATTCACGCGCCTAACGACCACACAGGAACTCAAAGTGAACATATCCCACCGCGTCTTGGCAACTAGCCACCACAGTCAACGTAGAGCAAAGAGGATCCAACGGATGGTAACTTCTGAAAGTCTAAAACTTCTGCCTAAATGCAAAAACGGGGGCAACAACTGTCTCGTCCGCCAGAATCAACAGATTCCAACAGCAAGCGACGTGGCTGAAAGCTCCCTTTCGCCTTCAATGACAGTAGTACCTTCTGAACGTCACCACTACGGATTCAAATCAGCAAACACTTCATCTGCTCCCACGACCAACAGAGTATTACGAATACAAAGAGAACAGATTCCCTGGATAGCGTAAAATTCATCACGAGCTCCACTGGCCTTCTACAAAACCAAAGCAGCAACCTCAACGCCGCACTCCTCAAGCCACTGCATGCGCTCAAGCGCCCGAATGCAGAATGGCGCGGAAATCCAAAAGAGCCTACGGTGGATCGATATTTCACAGCTGTAGGAATAAATTAGTGATCAAGGCCCCAACGAGGGCCACCTCCATACTTCAGAACAGACAAGCTCCTACATAATCCGAACAACCCGGGGCTGAATCGGTATCAATGTGATGAATCTGCAGAAGAAGAAATAAAAAATTAAAAAGAAATAATTAAAGAAGACAGGCTTACGGTGCTTGAGAAGGGACGAGAACCAGGAAAAGAGGCTTCCGGTAGCGGAGGAAGTCGAGAACCAGAGGGCCAGGGCGACGGAATCGTGCCCCCTGTGTAGGCATGGTGACTTCCGACAGCAAAGCGACCACCATAACAGCAAATAACCAAAATATGCCTGCGGAACAACGGGTGTCTGCATCCGATGCCCAGACCAGGCTCTCTCTTGGATGAAAAACGTGCTCTACCACATTCATCCTTCGATGTACTTTCATTCATCCGTTGTTTTTTCTTCCCTTCATTCATCCGTTATGTTTTCCTTCCTTCATAAATATACACACTTGAATACAACAAATTTATTCATTTTTACTGCATGGTTTTGAACCGTCTAGAAACGTGCAGTGGTTTAGCATTATGTTTGTGAGGAGATATCAGCAGTGTCCCCCATAACCATGGGTATACACCCGGGAACATGCCCGGACAAACCCTCCAAGCAAAGCTCTCAGAGGGTTTGGTAAAACCCTGTTCGTTTCGCCCGAGAGAGTTTAGGGTTTAAGGGCTTGTCCAACAAGCGGAGCCGTTTCTCCTTTTGATCACAGTCCTGACCGCCTCTCTGTTACTTGTCGAGGATCGGAAACTATTAGCAGTTCTAGGTTAACGTAGCCGGTCGCAGCGGAATTCTTTCTTCAGTATTCGGCGTAGGGACTTCGGCATCATTTGAGTATTCTTAGAGCGCTCTGTTGGTGTTGTAATGGCGAAGGAAATTGTGAAGAAGGGGATGAAGGTGCGAGTCTCTGATTTGCTAGTCATTATCATTTGATGACTCAGTTTATTCCTTTAATTCATGTCAGTGCCAGAAGATGCATTCTCTGCATTGCGAAGGAGTTGCTAATTCTATTTGCTCAGGGTTGTGTGAGCTTTAGAATCGCTGTTTATACACTCAGAATTTGGCAGCTAAGTTTTAGTGGTTGCTCTTGAATTCTGCATCCTTTGACTAGAAGCCAATTTTCTCCGGGTGCACATTAGTTTCTGTCAATGTCATTGAAGTGAGAAAGAGACATTTTATCCTTGACTACGTCTATGTTAAATAAAAATTGGTTTTATGTCTTGATTTGTTTTTAGTTTTAGTTTTAGTTTTAGCTTATTATTTTTTTGCATAATTATCCTTCTTTTTCCGTTTTCTAATTTTTGAAACCTGCGGGCCCTTTGCTTAGAATCCGATGCCTACGGTTCAGGATTCATATATTGCCGTAGGCTGTAGTCCTGGTTGACGTAATTTTGTACGTGGGGGGGGGCGAGAGTTAATCATGCAATGTTTTTTCTTGGGAACGAGCAACGTAACATTGCTCCTGTCGATGTTGCAGAGTGCTCCCCCTGGTAAGTCCAAGCCGGTCGACAGTAAGGACTCGGCGGTGAAGAAGGAACCTTTTCGAAAAATGGTATTTTCCTATGATTGCTCTGAATCCAGTTTTACGATACAACTGCAATTCGCCTCCGTTTGTTGTTGACATTACTACGTCAGTATCTACTTTCCATCAAATATCTGGACAGTTTTATTGGATGGAGTTATGTTGCGATTGAGTCGTCTGTATTGATGCTAGCACACGTGCAGTGTTCGCTTATACAATTTCACGTTTTCCCTTTAGTGCACATAGAACTATCTCAATTTCATTCCACGTCTTCTTTTATATCTTCTGTAGTTATTCTGGTTACTAATCTCCGTTGTTATCCAGTCAGAACAAGAGGCTCGAAAGGCGAAACAGGAACTCACAGAGACTCGCAAGAGGAAACGTAAGCCTCACTATGAGATAGAGAAGGTAACGCACCGGACATTCTTAAGTTTATTCTCACAATTGTGAAGGTTGAATGGGTAGATATTCGTGTTTTTGTGCTCTTTAATTACCGTGTTGTCCTGATCAAGGTGTGCTGTTTTGTTGAGATGGCTGTGGGGTGCGAACGTATCTGCTATGCGTACATTGTGCGTTCTGTCAGCCAAGTGTTCTATGGTTGTTAGTAGAAATTTCATTGCTATGGACGTTTAGATGTAGTGATGTCTTGAAATGATTTACTTGGACAGGAAGTTATTTCGTTATGGGAGAAAACGCGAGTCAGGGATGTTGAGAAGGACGAGAGGAGCAAGTAAGATTTAACTCATTTGAGATTGTTTTAGCTATTCATTATATTTTGTTACGAATAGAAATACTTGGGTTTGTTTACAGTGGGCTACTTTGTTTTCTCATCTCAGTGACTTGTGTCGCTTGAGTTCCTAATACTGTCAAGTGTCACATATTGCCCCAAAGATTGCAATTCTCGCCGATGACATCTTTATTATATACTGAATTCATGAGATTATGCCGTTGGTTTCAGGTTGGTATCTCAAGTTTTGCTGAAGATGAAAGGAAAAATGCCAGAGATGGCTCTCAATCACATTGTATCTCGTGCGTTGCAAGTATGTTAATATTGGCTTGTGCCTTGCATTCTAGGGGCTAGAACTGCTATTGATACATGTTATATTCTCATTATTCCATTTCAGCCTGCTGTTTCGTGGAGTAAGATTTTGCAAGCAAGTCTTACTTTGTACTGGTTCTTCGATGCAGAATTGTGTGAAATATTGCACTCCAACTGAAAGGGCTGCAGTGTTTGAAGAACTCCGACCCCATTGCTTAGCTCTTATGAAGGATAAATATGCGCACCACATTGTGATCAAAATGTTGGATAGCGGTAAGTTCGTGCCCTTTCGCCAGTACGAGCCTGCTTCTCTATGTCGCGGGTTGAGAAGTTTCAAGCTCATATTACCCCACGGATGGTGGTTCCTTTTGATATTGCAAGAATCGTAGTCAATTCGCAACATCATGATCTAAAATCCTTATTTTCGTTTGGTTTGTAACCAGCCTCGTTGAACTTTCAATCTCCAGCCAGCGCACAGTTTTATCTTGTTCTACTGATATACTGATAGAATTTCCTCACTAATGTTTCTTCGGTATCAGCTGACAAGGCTCAACTGCAGCAAATGTTGTCATTGCTTCACGGCAATGTTGTGGCTCTTCTCCGACATCCACATGCCTCACCTGGTTTGTTAATTCAATACTGAAACTAATTCTATTCTGTTTTGATATGGATATATTTATTTGTAGAAGTCGGGATATTTCCTGTGAGTGCAGCTTTGAGTTGTCTCTTGTAGAGTACGACTTCAAATGAATCATGGAACTGAATGGACATAAATCCATGCAAATTGTCTGATTGATGATTAATTTGGTACGTTATTCTGTTGCATGGTACAGTGGTGGAGCACGCCTACACTTTAGCTAATGCCGCACAGAAGTTGGAATTGCTTTCAGAGTTCTACTCCCCTGAGTTCCGGCTCTTTAAAGGATTAAATGCTCCTGGCAAGGGCAGGTGAGAATTCGTCGAAATGAACGAATTTTTGAACAGCTATACGTCCAGATTGAGCTCCAACTGAATCTAACATTTTGTTCATTGCTGTGGTCATAGGCTGGCTGAGTTTTTCGCGGCTGAACCTGCTGCAAAGAAGAGATCTGTACTGGAGCACATGACATTAGCCTTGCAGCCTATTCTAGAGAAAGGAATTGTGGACCATAGCATCATTCATCGAGCTATTGTGGAATACCTGAGTGTGTCGAAGAAGGTAGTATGCACTTCTCATTTAGGTGCAGGAGGATGTAGCATTTTGAGGTGACCTCCTTTTGCATCATGTTTTTGCTCCTTCCTGGTGTACTGATTTGGAACCCAACGGCGTTGCAATGATTGTGGGTTACAGAGCATGATTGCCGAAACAGTGCAACAACTGTCAGGTGGCCTTCTGGTTCGCATGGTGCATACACGAGACGGTGCAAAGATTGGCGTAACCTGTGTAATGCACGGTAATAATAAGGTCAGTTTTCGCTCTCACAGCGTATGATAAATTGAATTCTTGCATTGTGTTTATGTTCTTGGCATTGTAGGTCTACTTCTTCGCCGACAAAGGCAGCGCTAATATATTGTCTGAAAGTCGCTGTCAACGATACCCCGAGTTGGTAGTACTTGATTTATAGTGTCAAATGACATAACGTACATTTCATTCTTTATGTACACTACAGCTTGTATAGTCACAAGGGATTGCACATGGATTTTCGCTTTTCATGTGTGCAAACTGCTTGCTCTCCCTTTTCGGTATTCTGTGTCTTTTTCTCCCTGTAACATTGTGTCAAACTTTGATTTACAGGAGAGGAAGAAGATTATTAAAGGCATGAAAGGTCATGTTGCGAAGATTGCTCGTGATGACCATGGGTATATGGTAAGTCTCATCGTTTTTCATGTTTGCAATCACAAATTTTCACATGTGTCTTACGCCCTCTTATTGTCTCTTACAATTTCTAATTGTTTGCGCAGGTATTAATAGCAATTCTTGATGTTGTCGACGATACAAAACTTGTCACGAAGGTTTGAGTTTGCTTGTACCTTGATTACTGTACGTTCTACTACTTGATTTTTTATGTAGTTTCCATTGATTCGCTTGGCCAATCAAATTTCTGATCGTACAGAATTCTTTCGCAGATTATTATTAAAGAACTCATGAAAGAGTTGAAGGAACTGGCGTCACACAAGGTATGTACTGAATTGGAACTGATTTCCCGATTCAAAGAATGTTATTTCTGTTCGTATGTTTCTGCTGAGCTTGGAATTACTTCCGACTTTGTTACATCCTTTTTTGTGAAGGATATTTATCGTCCTTGTACGATGTACATATGAAAATTTCGATCTTGGCTTGCGTTTCCGTCTCAAAACATGGGTCAGGCATGTTGAATGTTTTCGAAGTACACATTTGTAGTCGTATGTTCTTAAAGAAGTGGATTTTGTTTTCCAGTTTGGACGACTTGTCTTGCTGCATCTTCTGGCTCCTCGAGTTCGCCGCTATTTCCCTGCAGATGTTTTGGCTCTTTTGGAGCATCCTGCACCCACATCTGTTGAAGGTAAGCTATCTTAACCTGATATGGTGCTAAACGACACTGGTGTTCTTTAACTGCCATTTTTGTAAACATATTTCGCATCCTTAAATGTAGGTTGAAGTGGCACAGAACGTTGTTCCTGTATATTTTCGCTTACCTCTTTTGAAATCTGTGTACGATTCGTTTATATACAGATGAGGACGTCGTAGAAGAGAACGCAGTAATAGCGGATGCTAGTACTGTAAGCAATGGCTCTGTAAAGGGCGGCTCGAAAAAAAGCGCCGCAAAGAAAGGTATAGACTGAGTATCATGGTGGGGATCAGATCTAAGTTGTGACTGCGAATTTCATTAGTTACCTTTACACTGTCAACATGACTTTTTATATCTTATGTTTTTATTCCACAGCTCGGGGGGAAGGAGGACCCGAGCCTATGGACGAAGACGAAGACGAGGAAGATGGAGATGGGGCTTCTGCTGTCAGCAAGAAGGATCCTGGAGTGCGTCGATCTGAATTGCTATCGAAGAGTGGACTAGCCAAGGTCTGTTCCACTTTGCGTTGCACATTTGTGTATGGTATCGGTAGATTTAGTGTGAAGGTCTGTATACGATTTTTTTCAGTTCATGGAAAAATTTCAAGAATTCCTATCTGTTACCGAGTATCTATCTGGCACAGTCTGGACTCTCTACTATGATAGTCCTTTTCTTTGGAAATGTGTTCATAGATTTCAACATGAATATCACGATATGTTTTGGTTTGATTCTCACATTTGACATTCTTTTTTCGTTCAGGACTTGGCTGAAATTTGTAGAGTTAATGCTAAGGAAATGCTGTTGTCTCAATGGGGTACTGAAATCATTTATGAGGTACGGCCGTTCATGCTCTCTTTCCCGTTACTGATACTCTTGGACTTACTCTTATTCCATTCCAATATTGTTTGGCCTTATACTAAGGGTACCTTTATACGGGCCATGAAAACCTTGCTTGCAGGTTGCAATGGGAGGAGTAAACGGGGAATTATGGAAAACAATGCCGGGCGCAATAATGTCATTGCATAAAGAAATTGCCGATCTAGCTACTATTGAAAACCAGGATGAGGAGGATGCGCATGTTATGGAGCAATATTTTTCTAGCCCGACTCTACGAAGGTTGATATTGAATTCAACACCTCCACCAGAAGGGGTTGATGGTCAATCATTCGCTACAGTATTTTGGTCTGTTGCTTTGAAAAAGAAATGCAAGCGCTGGGCTCAGGGTCACAGGTAATTCTATTTCCTCTTTTCATTTACTTTCTTTCTCCTTTGGTGTGCGTGCTACTTACTCGGAGTTGCAAATTGCCGTCCCTGAAAAAGTATGCTAAGAACTTGATTTTATCGCCTCCTGCAGTCAAAAGGTGGTGTCAGCTTATAGAGAATGCTCCGATTTAGCTGCGAGAGAGGCGGCGAAAGCCGAGATTCAAGGTCTTGTTGCTGCGGGTCTCCTGAAACCCGTAGCCCCTTCGCAGCAAAACGGGAAAAAAAGATGAGAACTCTGATCTATTTACCACTCCCCATATCGTAGAATAATTCTGGTTGAAATAGAAGATATAGGAAGGATTTTGGATACGACACTCGTCTAAATCGCTTTATGTCCAGTTTTGATGAGTGCACAAATTTTGAGGGTTGAGCTCAAGCACATCCAGAATCTGACGAGAACTGATTTGAACACAAGTTGTAATTTTATAAGCTAATCCATCTACATTTTTATGTTCCCCAGTGAGTGATGTTGGCTTTAAATTGTCTGGTAATTGCTACCTGTAGAATCTATCACAACCTACATATTTTGAGACCTGAGCCGAGTCACTTGCACATACTTCTTCTGTATGAAGTTCTATAGTAAAGTACACAATAGTTTTGAAATATACTTTTGAAATTTCTAAGGCTTTGAAATAGTCTTGGACTATTTTAAACCTAAACACGATGATGTTTTTTTTTTTAATAAGAAGCCATGTTGCAATTAAGTTCCATCAAACTTGCCTACTCCATCAAATCTAGAGAGTTTCTACTAACTACGAATAAATATAAGGAGTGATAATGGTAATAAATTTACATCTTTCTTGACAGTTAGTTTGTCTAAATATGTATTCGGGATTACATCTTTTTTTAAATGCCAGAAATGTGCTGTACATGTGTATATACTTTACTAATAATACAAAAAATCCTACCCCTACATTTAAAACCTGCACTCTTTATGCCACATTTTTCCAACACATGTATTATTTCATTCCATCAAAGTTCATATCAAGGTAACAAGAGAATAAAATTTGAAAGTATTGCTTTCTATGAATAAAAGTTTTGACAGTATATGAACACTTCACCCATGTTCAAAGGTCATGGCTTAGACCTTAATATTGCACCAACAAAGCAGTGCTAAAGTAAAAATAATAATAACAGCATAGGAATTACTAATATTTTATAAAACATGGGTTCCTATTTTACTTTATTCTCTATATATATTCATGCCAAGTGTCTGCATTACAAAGACATAATCAGACTGCCAACCGAACATGAGCACCAAACTATCAAATTGAAATGTTTCCACCCCATCTTTGATTAAACAACATCAAATGGCTTCAAAGCAGAAGGCTCTAAGTCCCCTTATAATCCATAACCACCTATATTAAGATTTATACCACCTAATCCCTCAACCTTGTTTACAAACAGATTTCCAATTCGTGAAATATTTTCTTAATTATTTTCCAACAATCATTATAGTTCAATAATATTAAGAATAATAATAATAATCATAACCCCAGTATGAGATCCAGCACGCGCACACATATACACACACACACACATATATATATATATATATATATACACACACACACATGTACACACAATCCCAATCCAAATTATTGATTCAGTATGGAATCTCAACAGAACGGAAAGATGAAAGGAGCCATAGGAAAAAAAAATAGTAGCAGCGCGTGCGATGCTTTACCGTCGCACGGAATACCGCGCTACCTACCCCACCCAGTGGACGTAGCGGCCCCAGCAAAGACCCATGGTCAATTCTGGGGCCCTACCTCTCAATTTTCCTACCTAGCTGCCTACCTACCTTCCTGTCTACCTCCATGCATTCTCACCTTCACGTCGGGTCGCAATGTAACCGAGCAGCGTATTAGCGGTTCCTTTGGCAGCTCGGGTATGACCACGGGCGCCGACTCTTTCCCCGCGAGGCTGTTTCCAGCTCCCGGACTGGATCGATCCTGAGGGCGGAGTCTCTATTCCTCATCACCAATATCTGCATGTGAGATGCGTACCTGGCAAGGGATGAAAAGGGCTCAATGGCATTAGGGCGATGCCGTTCATTGTAGGATGGGGGGCTGTTCGTTGCTCTTAATTTGTCCGATAAATGTGGAGGTTAGTAGGCATTATTTTTAGTAAAACGTGGCCGCTGTCTGTTTCTTCTGCTGGCTGTTTTTCCGTCTCGTGCCACTCGACGTCCTTTGTCCAGTGGGGATCGAATTCCTCCTCATGCTTCTACCACTTCTGGCTCTTTTTCGATTCCGCTGGTCGTCCACTTGCTGTCCGTTATGGTGCGGTGTTTTTTTCTTTTCTTTTCTTATTCACACGTTTTTGAATTCTGGATGTATGCGACTGGAATGCCTCCTATTGAAATGGAATTGGATATTGCATTTTCGGGTTTTTGATGATGAGTTACATTTGCGCGACAGTGGAGGGTATTCTTTTATAAAAATCTTGTCAGTTTTGTCACAAGTAGTTCATTTTGCAGGGGTGCTCGCGATGGTGCCAGCTGGCGTGGAAGCAACCATTTAAGAGAGAATGAAAATGTTCGTGAAACTTAATAAAAAATAAATAAATTAATTAATGAACAGAAAATGGTGTATTTTTGAGGTGGCTGGAAAACCTTTTGGAACTAGTTGAAAAAAGCTGAAACTAGACGAGATTGTTTATATTATTTTACATCACGTGTAGTCATTAAGAGTCTTTAATTGCACGGATCTACATTGTTAACAAAGTTGAAAAGAGAGTCAACTTTTTCTCGTAACACTTTTTGTGATATTCAACTAATCTTTCTCTCCTTTTTCCAAAAATGAAATTGGAGGTAGCAATTGACACACTAATAATGTAAAGATTACAAGACAAAATAGTATCTCGTGAACCTACTCCACAACTATTTTCTGAGTCATGTGTACCATATTAGTTTTTGATACTGTTTTGTCCGTGTCACAATCATTCCTTTGAAATTTGAATAACTTTACACACGTGTTAAATAGTTACAAATAGTATTTCTGATCAAATTTGAATTGCACGATTTAAAATAATAGTGAACATACATTTATTTTGGTAAAACTCAACACATATGTTAGTAGTTTTCTTAAAGTATTTCATATAATTGGAGTACAAAATTTGTATAATTCAACTTGCATAACTTAATATAAAATTTTCTGAACTGGTCTATTTAAACTATCATCAGAATAAAAAACAATAAATACAGACCCAATATGGCACATAATTTAACAATTTGGAAACTGTTGTTTCAAAAAATAGAATAGAATAAAATAAACAAACACATACATGAAAAAGTTAGGCCACTAGTTGTTATGAATGCTAATTATGAAATTTCTTAATTCTAATCTATATTGAAAAGCATTATTGATATACCTTCTACACCCCCTATACAATACTCTCAAACCAATGGTGGAGGCACTGAATGGAAAGGAAAGAAAAAGTAAAATGAAAGAAAAAGGAAAGGAAATCTAGGACAAGCGTGGGCTCGTGGTTGACAAAGACGCGGTGTTGTGCGCTGTCGAAAGGGACCAGGTCGGGGCCGGTGTGAGGAGGAGGGTGGGGATGGGGTCCGATGGGGCGGCCGGAATGGGGACCGGGAAGCGCGCGCGCGCTTCGTTTCAAGGTCATCGCCATATTTTCATAGTGGTGGCGGAAGGATCGGACGGGACAGGTCGTCAGCGTCACCACTCCCTCCTCACCACTTGACTCGTAAAGATGGCTCTACCATGGTTGTTGTTGCATCTGCTTATCCCACCCCCTCCCTAACCCCGTTTCATTTACACGTCTCCGCCCTGCCCGCGCTGTTGACCTGCGGCACCGCTGCTGCCATTTCGCTAGCGTCGAGAGGTTGTGTTGCGGAATTGTCCATGCGTTGACGCGGTGTGGGTTAGGAAGTCGTATAGCTCGCAGGTAGAAGAGGAGCGAGTGAGAGAGAAACTGATCAGTGGAGCTACAGCGAGAAGTGAACATTCTCGCCGGAGTTTTGATGCAGGTTAGAATGTACCGTGGGATTGTGTGTTTTGCTTGAGTTGCAGTGTAATCAGGCGGATTGGCGGTTGGTGTTGTAAGTGAGATTGATGCATATGTGAGTTGAGGAGATGGGGGACAAACAAGAGAACACCCCCATGGGGATTTCGCTTAAAGAAGCGGAGCGCGGCGCCGCGAAGTCGGGGAACGGGGCGAATGTAGAAGCTGTGTTGGAGCATGCGAAGAAGGAGATCTCTGCGCCGAGTTTGAAGACTCTATGGAACGATGCGGCCGAATTCTCCCCCAGGGGTGAGATGCCGAGGGATGTTTACGAGCGCGCGCAGACCAGAATGGCCGAGGAGCTCGGGCTGCGCTATGTCGTGGACGGGCATGTAGTCGGTCACGCGCTCATGCGAGCGGCCGAGGGCGGCCAGCTGCACGTCGTGAGGCGCCTGCGCAAGGGCCAAGCCGAGCTCAGATGCTCAGTTCTGAACCCTCGTTTCCTAGCTTTCGCGATGCTCAAGGCCACTGAAATCGGTCACTATGAAGTTATGCAAGAGCTTCTGCGCTTGACGAATTCGGCGATTTTAGCCATGGTCGGGCACGAGATTGCTATGAAAGCGAAAGACGACGGCTACCCGTATGTGCAAGCGCGTCTGACGCGAGACTGGCAACGAACCGTTAGCGGTTTCAAATCTCTACTCCCCCCTGCGACCTACACGGTGCAGTACGAGAATCTCGAGCTCTGTGGCACAAAATCCGACCAGGATTTCGTTCATGAGGCCGTGAGGTCATGCTACCAGATGTATTGCGTGTGGCGTTTGGCGGTCATCGCTGGCGCCAATGGACACGGCGGTGTGTTTCGGGAGCTATTGATGAAAAGGGAGGAGTTCAATACGCGCGCGGGTGAGACGAGGAAAGCCTTGATGGGATATGAACACCCCAAGGCGGTGGAGATCGGCAAGATTCGCAGCCGGATAGATGAAGACTTCATGCGTTTTACCAAGAAGATGACGGCGAAGCTCAGCCGCGATATGCTCCTGTATGAGGTTTACCGATGTGAGCAGGGGAGAAGTTTGGAGGAATCAAACAAGGGTGGTAATGCGTGGCGGTGCTCTAGCAAAGCTCAGTTTGGTCTCTGGGAGGTCTTCATGGACGTTCCCGTCTTACTAATGGAGCCTGAGGGGTCGTACCAAGATGGTGACAAGAAACAGCTGATGCGAAACTATAAATACATCAAGCCCATCGTCCCTCAGATCATGAAGCTGAACGTGCAGTTCAAGATCATCATAGACATTCTACCGAATTACATCGAATTGTCGGTCGGGATTAACCATGTGCGCGTGACAGTGGAAAATCAATGCTGGGAAGAGCCGCAGACGGGACATTTCCCCACGCGAGTATCCTTATCTGTCACCCCGATTGAACAAACCCTGACATCGGTCACTATGACGGGTTCGTCGACCAACACTTCTTACAAAGTAGGAGTAGCGGAGAATGTACGAATCGGAGTGAACGCTACTCTTAAAGCGGCTCCCACGGCTGGAATTTCTTTCCAAGCCGGGAAATCCACGATTTCCAAGGTGGACGGGAAGCCATGGAGGATGGAACAGCTGCCTGTGTACAACGAACGAGGGGGAAGCTACACATGGGCGTTGACGAACCTCCACGGCGCAGCATTCGACCGCCTGAGTCCCATGCTGCAAGAAACGAAGAAATCTATCTGGCAATTCGGGAAGAGAGTACCGATTAATCCTTTGATGGTGCTCCCCTTCGGCACCAACGGCGGGGTGAACTTTACGGGGACTGAGTTCGACGACACGATCTCATGGCGATTTTCGAAAGACCTCGAAAACAAGACAGTGGCATTTAACGTAGAGGGGCAAGTCCATACCACTCACATCACACAGGATACCTTCTGGGAGACTCGTGTGGTGCCGTTCGAGGTGAAGCTGGAGCAGAAGCTGGAGGCGTGCGGAGACCCCATGGGCGCCGATAAGAAGAAGAAGAAGAAGAAGAAATAGATGATTGGCTCCTCTCTCAGCTTCTCCGAAATCTTCGATGTGCAAAGCAAACTTTCTTCTGCTACTGAAATTCGTCTTGGTCGCTTTTCAGTTCACTTAGAATCGAGACGGCAATTCTAGTTTTGGTCGTAGATGTCCATTGCAGGTGGTATTTTCCGCCACAATCATCAAAAGGATTTTTTTTCGAAGGTTAAATGTCCTTTCTTATGAGGGTTTTTTCTTGCCGTGTCTTCAGTACCACCAAATTTAGGTTCACGAGGATTATGTAAAGTAAGGTCACAACGGTTAATTAGCTCTAGGTTCACAGTTGTGCTGGATTACAATTGTATCGTATCTCCGACCTGTGGGCGAATCGGATGATTTATTCGCGAATATGTAGCAACGTTTTGAAGGTGGATGACACGTTCTTTATGCAACTGGAAGTTAAATTCAGAACCTTAGTGATTGTCTCATTTGGTTACGCACATGAAAGAGAGTTGAAGGCTTTTATGCGATTATGAAATTATTCAGAGCTATTGTCTCATTGTGCTCAAGAACCCACTTTCTTCAGATGGTCGAAGATTACAAGTATCTCCTTGATTTCTTGCACACTGGTGATTATCCAACGGGTTGTTAGAATCCATGTCTGGATCTATTCACGGAGCTTTTATCTATTTGAGATCAATCTATGAACAATGAGTGACATGTGAAGTGTGAGTCGAAAGAATAGCTCAAGCACGCTCCAGTACAGTAAAAACCTCTCTGCTGGTGTTGCCATCCGTAGTTTTGAAATTGTGCATAGATGAACCCAATTAATCTTCTTGACCTGTACCCCGACTTGCAGATAAACCTGAATCGTCCTGACATTCCTTGCAGCATCTAGTCCTCCAGAGTCTGCGAAGAACGGTGCAGGAATCAGCCACTATGGTTTGTTCAAGAGCACCTATCCTTTCATTTATCGTTGGCCCCGGATTCATTGGCTTCAAAAGCAGAGTCGAACCAATAGCGTCTTCTAGACACGCAACGGATTGTCCCACATATAGTATCAACCTTAACTTACCTTCCGTTTGTTCCACAACACTGTGGTGTGAGTATGTATAGTAACAACTATAAATTGGATTCAGTTCTAAATGATTGAATGACGCACTATCGAAACATCAAAATTCTCCTTGGTTGCAACTCTCATTCAGCTGAGTCACTCTCATGAAACCAGTGTAGTCATGGTGACGTGCACTCTATTGCTGACATGATCTATACAGGCTTCATATCTAAAAATGCACTGCGAGGGGCTCAGCTGACATCAGCTCTTAATACGTACAGTTAAAATCTCTTTAATATGACATATTACCATTGACACAAAGTAAGTGTCATGGTATTAGTAATATGTCAATCAAGGGTTAAGTGCTGCATTATCAAGGAAATGAGAAACAATATATTCATACTTAAAGCTTTTATTTTATTTGATGTCATTGATAATCATTATCGTTAGAATGCAAACCAACACAAGCTAAAATTCAATATTTCTCCAAATAAGCAATTATTATTTTTAAAATATTTCCAACACGAATAATGGAATTTTGGGTGATTTTTATGGAGTCAATTCTTACCTTGTTTGTAATATTCTTCAACATTTTTCTTGATCCATTCTCCATCTAATGATTCAGATGAGTGAGACTAAATTAGATTCTCAACATGCGGTGATCCCAACAGTTGTGAATCACGCTTTCTCCCCAATTCAGATCAAAGTATGTGCAACCACCAAGCCCTGGACATTATCTAAATGCCTGTCCTGTGCAACACACTTCGATTTGTCTAGTCTATTTGCTAGATTCTATTCTTTTTGTCTGTCTCTCTTCGGAGTTTCCGTCGGTAACAACCACTTCCGAGCTGAGTCACGAACTAAGATAATCACCTTTCCTACCATCTCATGGACTAACAACCTCGAGATCCGCTGTACCCAATTCATGGCAGTCGAGGAGGAGGAGGTCAGGGAGCTGCAAGTGGGTCCCTAGAGACTACAGGCATACATCTCTTCAAGTTGCGTGCCTGGAAAGATAAAAATAGATGGAAGATTTGGAAGATGGAATGCACTGTGAGAAGCCATTGTCTTGTAAGTCATTTGCAGACAATTGGCATGTGGTTTTACGAAGCCCTAAGATAGGTAGTCGTGGCACATAGTTCATTTTTTTTTTCTTGCTTTTTTCATCACATGTTGGCGGATTCTTCGAAAATCACGATAGTTATCGTGTTCCGGTACTTGAGCTACCCTTTAAATGAAAATTTGAAAGGCCCATCGAGATTTGAAGCTGTGTTGCAACTTAACACATACGTATTTTCTTTTAAGTAAACTACCAGTACATCCTGCATTTGATCACGTAGTTCTCAAAACCAAGAAAGATATGAACTAGCGTACTATCAATAACCGCAAACCTATCCCTCACATATACGTGAAAAACATCACAAGGGTATGCGAATAGAAGTCGAGACTGCATGTGCTAATATCATGCGAAATAATCACATTTCTCACTATGCTGGCGGAACAATGGTGATCCTCAATTATCATAGTTTCAATACCTATCTTGAGTACTGAAACCCCACAATGATTGGATGATTAATAGTCTATGGAAGTTGCATTCAGCTTCGTAACTGATTTCTACGTTCTGCTTGCAAAGTAGTAAACGTGACCTTAATGGGAGATAGAAAGCTCAACAAGCTCTCAATCGAAAGGTATCGAACACGCTGATCAAATTCAGAAGAATTGACTGCCAACAAAATCTCTAGGAGTCTTTAGAAGAGTTCTTTTTCTTGATTGACTGCCGTTGCTGTGAGGTATTTTTTGACGATCTTTGGGTATATGAAGTTCCCTAAGACCACAAACAAATTAACAAGAAATCATAATGATTTTCGCAAAACTTACTTTATAAAACTTAAAATACCCAATGCTAACGCATCTGACTAGAAAAAGACCACCTTTTGATAATGATAAGAAACTGCAATCACAATAGAAGTTGAAAAGTACAAGGGTACTCACTTGAAGCCAATCATTAGTAAGAGCACCGCTGCTGGAGCGGGTACCCGTCTCAACTCTCTTGTAGCTTCTTTTTCGCTTCTGTAAAAGAAGTATAGAATTTTCATATGTCTGTCTGAGCAGTGCTATGCTTCACCAACTGCTTCGTAACAAATTTCATCACTGTTCTAACTTGACCATCCAATGTTATTCAGATGAGGTTAAGAGTGTAGTTATCTGATACTGTTTTAGTCCATAAAGTGACAACTTGTCTTAAGAATGAAACTAGTACCTTGAGGAAATTCTGAGCTTGAGAATAGGCCCACATGCCGAGGAGTCCCAAAATACCCAAACCTAAACTACAAAGAAATATGGTTTCTCCTTTCACAAAGCCACCATTTTCCAATACATCAATAGAGCCGTTGTGGAAGACGTTCTTGTAAAGTCCGCCATCAATCTCGTAAACAACATATCCCACCAAGTCGTAGATTCCTGCCTGCAGAATCACTTAATGTTACCACCCAGACAACAAACTTCAACGAACTCAAAACGAAGCAGAAAAAACTGCAACTCGCATGAGGTCCTTCAGACATTTAGTTTCCAGACAACTTATTAAAAATGTACTTCAAAGTCCAGATAAAGCAACACACGATTAGAATTGAGATGCAAAAGACGATAACAAAACGAGGAAAAAGGAGATAATTCTTAAACACACCCTCTAAATGGCTGATGCTACCATGTTAACCATAGGTATTCATTCACACATGCACCCTTGACCAACCCGATAGACAGTTTGCAAGAAGCATAAACACCTCTCCCCTAACCATATACGTGCACTTTTACTCAAGAAAGCTGTATTACTTGCAAGAGCTTGTTGCTGCTGAACGAGTAGCTGTAAGATCCCTTGCTACCAGTAGTGACGATGGTAGTGCCCTCCTGTATTCACCTCCCATACATAGACATGCCACGTTCAGAATATTTTCTACAAATCTATGCACGTGACACCTTTCAGGATATATTTCCTATAAGTCAAGCTCAGCGCACAGTCATCTTATGTCGTGAACGACTACCATAAGTCACAACGAACTGAATGATCAGATTGCCTCGCCGAAATATGTTCTAAAAAACGTACAAGAAAACCTTCCATCCAGGGTCCCAGGACACAACGGAGAGACAAACCTGGACTGTGAAGTTCTGAACAATGAGGCGATGGTCATGCGGAAGGTGAATACTGGCACGAGTATATATCACCTTCAAAGGAGCTTGTCCTGCAATTTCAATTGTAAAATTAATCATGTATGTCATGTGGAACAAAAATTGAAGCGCACATTCAGAGCGAGTTCCCTTTCAACTCATTGCTTACAGGAGAAATGCTATCTAAAATAAACATAGTGGGCTCTTGCAAAACTTCAAATCCTTGATTGATAAGGTAAATGAATACCTGCTCTTCTGGATAAAAGAAAAGCTTACCATCATTGATGACATCAATATCAACCTGAGTACGCTCTCCTGGTTTAACCACTGTGAAAACCAAGGCACGATATCAAAACAATAACGAAAACTAGTGAGCTACAAGGTTTATTTGTATTCAAGCCAGAAGATGAATGTGTGATGAGAGTGACATGTTAGAGAAAATTGGGAGAGAACATCAACTTACCTTTCAAAGGATTTTTCGGAAAATACGAAGATGTCTGTACCCCTGGGGAAGCTTTCACGTTAGCCTCCACAAATTTCTCCGAGGGTTTGCTGCCCCCAACTGGTACTACTGCAACAAAAAAAAAAAAAAAATCATTATTATGATCATAGGACGTTTTCAATACGGTAACTTCAAATCCATTTTGAGCAAGTATGTCCAATGACGAACTAAAATGAGCTACAAAGAGGGGACAAAAAGACAACACCTTAATGACACGTATGTTCGCTGGCATATGTACACTGATAAAAAATAAGTAAAGGTAACGTCGTCCTAATGGAACCCATCCTGGCATCAACAATATTTCTCAAACGTGACTATCAAAAGAATAGTTCAAATCCTGAAACACCACAAGTAAAAGAAAAATTCGACAACACGAGACTCACAGTCAAGGCATAGAAACCCAACCCTCAATCACGACACGGCTGATTCCAGCGAACAAGCTCTATCACAACACTACAATGCAAACAGTGAATGAGCATCAAAACCTCGAAATCCTGATGGGTACCCCGCTCTTACCAATGGCACAAACACTGGAATCATGTAAAGCATCCATCCACCATCGAGACCCCAACTTCACAGATCAATCACAACAGCGAAGAGCAAAACGTAACCTCGGACAGAGAAACCTCCAGGATTAGAGACAAGCCAGGAATCTAATATATCTATGGATGAATTAAAAGACCGTGATCACGTACAAAAGGCTTGCAGCAAGAGCAGGCAAGAGAGCAACAGGATCATGGCGGTGCTCAGGAAGAGTAGTCCTGATCTCGCAGACGCTGCGGCGACGGAACTGTCCTGACGGGAATGCGCCTCCCCTCCTCCTCCTCCGGAGGAGCCATGCCAGCTCGGCGACCAGGTGGCATAGACATGACAGCATGGCATTAATTGATTGGTGGAAATCCGTGCTAGAAGGTCTAGCTGGCAGGGGGGGGTGTCCCTGAGGACTACATTTCAGCATTCTCTGCAACGACAACACACGGCGCGGGCAGATTTGGATTTTTGTATCTCTAGTCCGGCAGTCTCTTCCGGGCTGATACTAATTTTTTGTGAATACGTTCGCTCTGACCGTACTTACTGACCGTGCTTCGCCGCTTCAGTTTTGAAAACGTTGGATGTGCTTTCTGGTAATAAAGCATAGTTTTTATTTCAAAAATTCGAAAAATAATATGGTATATCATTTTTCAAAAATACATTTTTTATATAATTTAATATTAAAAACAATCCTTATAATTTTGATATTTTTTTTGGTTATTGCCCTAGCTTCTATTTAGTTTATGCCAAAGTAATCTAGCTATGATTGTTGTTGTTTAGGTGAAAACAAAAACTACACAAAGTAAAAATAGTTTGGAAAGGCATCAAAATTTGACAAACCTCAAGATTGCCTAAGTAGCCATTGTTGATTTGATGACAAAGTAAAGATTCACCACTTAATTGGGAGAAATTAGAAAAGAACTCAATGGCTTAGTTTAGGATTAATACATGAATTAGGATATCCTTGTTTTAATTTTCTTGTCTCCATGTTCAAGCAAGGATGTTGTGGACTTAGTCTTCTTGTTTTCAAAAGTAGACTATAACAATGAAATTTGACATGATACTATAGCCACCTCAACAAGTGTGGCATATTTAATATTACTTCATGCAAGCCTTGCTCATCTTTGCATTCATAGCAAGTTCTATAGATCTTAACTTTGTAGATACATTAATATCATCAACTTTCTCTACTTTCTAAATATACATAGAATATATTGAATTAAATTCAATTACATTTTTAAGAATTAATTTTAAAAATTTCGAAGTATTTTTGAACCAATTCAAAATAATATATAAAGCTTATAATATCAGTTCTATAAAAAATAAGATAAGAAAAATAATACAATACTTTATTAGAATTACTAATAATAAGTTCTATAATCTAGATGCTATCATCCAAGATCATTGAGTATAATTTTACCAAAAATAAACCATGCATTGAATAAATTGACAACTTGCACAAAAATAAAAGAAATATATCTTGAAATAATCTAGTTTCTTCTTCCACTTTCAAATCCAATTTTTTTAGATTCTCTACATGATATTTTCTATATAGGATTTATACAATATACTCTAATACGTTGATTTGTATCAATCCTACTTCTACAAAATATATTATAGAATTAGAAAGAGAGTCTAATGCCATCAAATAACACCCTCATTAAATGATCCAAAAGATGAAAAATATGCTAATAAAGGTTAAATAATTCTACGTTATCAACCAATTAGCTCCAATATTGTCCAAAATAATATTACAAGCTAACATATTTTATATAATTTGTAAAGGCATAGGACATACCAACATCTAGTATCAAAATCCGAAGCTCAACAAATAATATATGTGATGCAAGTGTTATGGTCATACTTATGATGTGTACGACAAACATTGAGAATATATCTACAACAACAAATCAATTGCTAATATCTACCTTGTTCAAAAATATATTACATTAAGATTCAATCAATACCTTAAAGATCTACCATTACAATCTCAAGAAAGATCCTACATACCACCAAATGTCAAGGACATACACTAGGAAGTTGTAGAAGATTTTAGAAGGTTCTAGAGAAGCTTTGTAGTTTCAAGAAGCTACTTGAGAAGTTTTCAAGCTCGCAGAAGTTGCTTGAGAAGCTTCTTAACTCATAGAAGCTACTTGAAAAGCTTCCTAGTTTGTAGAAGGTACTTGAGAAGCTTCCTAGCTTGTAGTATATATAGGAGCTAAGACTGAGGAGATCTTTAGTCTCGACAACACACCTCTTGGAGCTCTAGCTCGCATCTCTAGTGTTATTCTTATACTCATCTGATTAATCTAGTTCTTGCTAATTCTTCTTGAGCTTCTTGTTTAGATTTCCAGTGAGTATTCTAAATTCGTGACAGTTTGTCGAGACTACACTCATCTTTCATATTAGAGCTAGTTCCTTCTTGTTAGAGTGTGGATTATCCCTCTGCTTGAAGGTGCTGGCATTTTAGAGGTTGCAGATTACCCTCCTTTAAACTGATATTTCTTCTATTATAATATTAGAGTCTTATCTTTCTTGGAGAGAGTGGATTACCCCTCTTCTTGAAGGTTTTAAGGCATTTTAGAGGTTGCGGAGTACCCTCTTCTAAACCAATACTACCTTCTTGTAGAGTCATTTCTTTCCTTCTCTTAGAATGGTCGAAGGTCAAGATATTAGTATCGCTGAAAGTTTGGAGTCTAAGTTGGATGCCATTATGAATGCTCTTGCTACATTATCATAGAGAATTGTAAAGATTGAAGGAATCATAGCAAGACTTCATAATGATGAAGCATCTGGAATGGCACAATCGAGGATTCACCACCTCAAGCTTCAACACCAAGAGGAGTAGCTTTGCCTCTAGTTCAACAAGGACTATTGGTCTTAAAATGAAAAGAGCTCCAAATTAGCCTTCCAGACAAGTTTGATGGTATGTATTCTAAGTTTCGAGGTTTTATCAATCAAATTAGATTGATAATAGCTTTACAGCCCAAAAGCTATCCGACGAAGGAGTCATGTTATCATATTGTAACACAAATATATGGTGAAAGGTGATAATGTGGATCTTATTATAGAAGAGCCAAGTTAAAAGAAAAAGTAGAAAAATATGGATAAAAGATAAGAAGGTAATAAAACTTCTAGTAGTAATGCTGCCCTTTTAAAAAAAATAGCTTCTACTTACTTTATAGGACCAAAAGTAAGGCAAAATAAGGTAGATTGGAAAAATAAATGATATAGACATCTTTAGGAGGAAGTTCAAAGTAAATTCTAGTAAAAATTACTTAGAAAAACTAGATGTTGATACCCGAAGAGGGCTGGTTATGAACTAGGGTCGAAATCAGACCTTAATGTACAAAACCGAGTCTCGACGATGACTCCAGGACTCTTTGGTAGATCAGAGAATAGGGTTTGATAGAAGTTTGGATAAGGTTTCTATAAGCATTGGTTTTGGGTGATTTGGATCTATATTGACTTTGTAAGAGCTTTACAAAGTTAAGGTTTGTTTCGGATGACTTGTATTTTGTGAAATAAAATAGGGTTTATATTTTGGATGATTTCAAGAGTTTTGTTATAGATCTACGGGTGAAATTTTGTAGATTAATGGTTATAGTTGTGTTTAATATATGTTGTGAATTTGAGCTTGATCTAACGATTGAATTAATGGTTACTGAGGTTAGTGAGTTAAGGTCTCAGAAAGTAGAATTTTAGATTCAATGAGGATTTTAAAGATTTCTTGCAATCTATTAGTTGAATTGGAGTGAAACTTATGCGAGAGGATATAAGACTTGTTTTTCTATGTGTATGACAATTTTGAAATCAATCGAACAATGCAAAAGAGAGATATTGGCTTTGGAAGATTGGCATCAAGGTTGGAGAAGGAGGCCGACCAATACCTGAGCACGTTTTTGAGGTTATTATCTATTTGGTAATTTCGATCCTTTTCAAAAATTTTATGATTGTTTTTAACTTAGTTTTTAAGAAGTGTGCAAAATTTGAGTTAAGATCGACGGTTTATTCATTAGTTATTGAGGTTTAAATCTGTTATAGGAATTACTAGGATTTGATTAGGGATTGGTTTAGGGTTTAGGATTTGATTAGGGTTTTATTTAGGATTTGGGATTTGGTTTAAGATTTAGGGTTTGGTTAGGATTTAGGATTTGGTTACGATTTGATTTAGGATTTGGTTTAGGGTTTAGGATTTAGTTAGGATTTGGTTAGGGTTTGATTTAGGATTTAGGATTTTATTTAGGATTTGGTTTAGGGTTTGGTTAGGGTTTGATTTAGGATTTGGTTTAGGATTTAGGATTTGATTTAGGATTTAGGATTTTAGTAGGATTTAAGATTTAATTAGTTTTGGCCTAAAGTTTGAATGAAGTCCAATTGGATTTTAACTAGAATTAAATTAAGATTGAATTGAGATGTATTTGAGTGATATTTGTGATTATTCTAATATTTCTTTAAGATTTCTTATTGTTTGTTTGAAATTTCTTTGAGGTTTTTTTGAATTTGATTAAAACTTGCTTAGTATTATTATGGTCTAATTAGAGCATTGTTAGTATTCTATTAGAATTAGGATTTTGTTGTTACAAATTTCATTCTTTCTTCCACAGCCAGGTGCTCGGAGCATTCTCAAGCAAAACTTCACGTATTACGACAACATGTTGGACTAGTTGGAACTTTCCTCACGGAGCAAGCTCTATCATGGTTTGTTCCTTTGTTCGACTAAAGATCGTCAATTTTGAACAACTTCAAAATATTTTTGGAGGCGTTTGCGGAAGCATTTGACAAACATGACAAGGCACAATGGACTACAATAAATATCCGATCGCTACAACAAGAAGCACGCTTTGTGTTAGTCTACGCATCAAATTTTAGATAATTAGCATGCGACATCAATTGGGATGAGGAAGCATTGATAAATCAATTTTATTGAGGCTTGATAGATGATGTGAAGGATTTGTTATTATCTCTTCTCAATCCGCAAACGCTCAATGAAGCCATTAGCCAAGCTGTGAAGTGCAATAATCGCATATTTCAACGTCGCCAAGTTCAATGCTCAAAATAACATACGGCTCGCCACACTCCAACTATGTCAGCAAGCAGCCTGAATTCACATTCAGAGGTGGAAGACATGCAAATTGACGCGATACATGTCAAATCCCTAACTCTAGAAGAAAAAAAACAGCATATGGAAGAAAGACTATGCTTGTATTGTGGTGAAGAAGGCCACAGAGCTGGAAACTGCCC